ACTGGTATCCCCCATGTTAATCCCGTTAAATGAAGACGATATTTATTATTATCTAACCTTTAACACTGCATACGTTGTAAAGTAATATTTCCTTGTTTGTTTCATAACTAGCAGGATCTTCGGCAGTTTTTAGTTGAGTTCAATGACATTCTGTCTGTACGACTCAGGACTCGTAGTCTTGTAGGTTAGTTGAGATGTATCAACTTGAGGAAGCCTGTAAACTGGCTTCTCTCATGTTAAACCTTTTTAATGTGAGAATAAAGCACTCATTTATTTATTTATTCACTTGGGTGGCGTGCGTTGAATGTCACATGTAGACCTGCGGTTGTCGCGTGATGCATAACATTGCTGGTTATGCACGGAAGAGCGTGCTTCGGTTGTTGTAACTGTGGATGTTTCTCTAACACTGGCTGATAGGACGCGTCGCCCGATTGTTTAGTTCTAACGACATACGTAGGTGGTGCCGCCAATAAATAACTTTGTATCGTTATCTATCTCTCGTCGACGACGGGCATCTACGAGTAGGTCGTAATGGTTCAGTAAATCTACGTCGCTGATGGACACAGAAGCAGCAGCTAGGAGGAAATCCCAGCAAACGGGTTCGCGCAAACCTAATTTAAGGTGGGATGACGTCTCCAAAAGTTGCGATTGCTTTTCCGCTAGCTGCCTGAATATTGAAGGATGGATCATTATGACTTTTCTCCGTTTTGAGGGAAAAACGCTGACTTCTGCGCTGGTGTGGACGAGATGGCTGGCTTTCTCCTTCGCGCCAATGACCACAACAAGCGACCTTTTCCGCCGGCAGCGGTTACCTGAGTTGGTACCGTTGCTCCAGGCGCAAGCTTTTTGACAGTTTCTGCCCCTGTCACCACAGAAACTGTGGAACCGGCCCCCATTTAGTGTTTGCCACCTCGAAGGGTTTAGTTTTTGAACAACCACCTGAGTTACTGCGACGGGCTGAGACGCGTTTCTGTGTTGTACTACGTGACCTAGGGCTTTGGGTTTATAGCAGCTATCCGGCGGAGTTGTGTGCTTCTGACGCTTCGCCGACCGAAAATGACTGGTATGACATGAGCCTGAGAGTGTTCTTCGTTGGTGTAAGTTGGATAAGTTTCGGGGTATAGTCGGACTGGGAACGTGGTTATATATATATATATATATATATATATATATATATATATATATGCACGTAGATTATCAAAATAACTGGCTTCCAACTACAAAGAGGGACGAGCTCACCAGTTTGGAAATTGTCTTTGCGCGAACTCGACAGATGCAGAGACCAATCACTAAATATTAGTACTTTCAATATACCCATAAACACGAAACCAAAGAAGAACACAACGGCGTAGTCAGATAGAATGGTATATTTCCGATGCGTTCCGACGAGCTGGCTAGAAGGTTGGTTACGAGCAGTGCAACGTAACACGACAGCGTGCCAACTGGTGAGGATACTCGACCGGTGCCTCCAGCTTAGCTAGTCCCGCTGAGCTGTCAAGGTCAGCATTGATGTTGAATCTCGTCGAACCCAGGGTTTGGTCTTGGGGACTTGGGCGCATTACGCTGCAAATGGTATGGTGTAGTTATATAGAGAGCTTAATCGTTTCGAGTGATTATGTCTGCGATACGTTTGGCATCCACCCAATGAAATGTAGTCACCTGCATTAGAATATTTTTGGCAGATATGATGAGTGGCGTTCACCTCAATAACAGGACCGGTTCGGCAAACGGGTGTGGTTTAATACTTGTTCGGTGAGTGAAGGTGAATCATCACAAAAATGGAAAGGAAAGTGTAAACTTAAAGTTGTCATGCGTCCTTCATGATGTTATGATATTAAGTATGAATGTTCCCTCGAATTTTGCAAGAAACAGAATACAAGGTTTGTTCGTATCAGTAACGTAGTGACGCTAATTTAAACCTGAAACATTAGCTCGCCCCTTTTGGAGCTAAGAACAAACCTGAGAATAAGTTGACATACACTTAATGTGATGTTAGATTTCAGCGCAAAACTTGCATGAAAAGTTTCTGCATAATTGTGAGCCCGAATACATGCAACCTGTGCATCATCATGGTCATATAATCAAAGTTTGTAGGTAATAGATCTGGTTTCTAACTGAGAAGAAAACACATATTCTTGAACGCTGAATGAAAAGGTTATCTAACAATCTCAGCCACGAAAGCCAAATTAGCTCCAAGAACGGAGTGTTACTGATGTCACAGTGGCCAGAAACTGCTCTGGCTAATCTGAGATTATGAAGCTTCAGAATACAACTAACGAAAACAAACGACATAAATTATGCATTTGTTAGGAGCAACGAATAAGATCCAACTTTTTTCCGACACAAACCTGAACTACGCAATGTTAACAGTGTAATTACAGAACTCTTCAGTAGCTTGCGACGTTAAGTTAATACGATTTCGCACAAAATTTCTGGTCCTCTTGTTTGTAGGCTCAGAATAACGAAAAGTCAGAAGTCAGAAACCCGGCGAAACGGGTTTCAATATAATCAAACAAATGTGAGTGTTTCGGCGTTTCACGAAGTCGGTAGATAGCATGAAACAATAAATGTTGAAAATCAGCCTGAATACTTCATGGTAACACAATTAACGATTTGTCAAATAAGTAACTCATAACTGGCTCATTAATACATCCCACCTGACAAGGTTTACGTGAACTAAATGTCGATTTAAATGAACTATCGTTTCGCTTATACGGTTTTAGCTTTGTGGGAGTGATTGTGCCGTTTATTTGTGACCAGAAGCACTGAGTCAACACCTGATTGTTGACTTGCAATAGAGTGAAAAATGTAAATCCAAGCAGTAATTTAGTTCACACAGCAAAACTATGGATATTAGGACGGTCATTGTTTGAAATCCTCTGATTCTTGACAGGTACACACAACACCATACAACGGTATTTGATGGTGAAACTAAGAAAAGCTGCGACTCTGAAGGGTTGTAGTCGGCTTCTAAAAGTTGTAAACTCTATAGGGAAAATGAAAAAACTGGATATTTGGGCGGAGATCTGCTTTCTGACGACCACAGTTACTTTTTACATGCCAAAAAATTCACTCTCTGAAGGCAAAGGGACAGAAAATTGATAACCCAGTTATTTAACTGAATAAGTCGGGTTTATAGTAATAAAAAAATAGAACCAAATGATCAGTGCCACTTACAATAAACTCTAAAGTTCTGCTTAATTATGTACATCTTTGAAACTCTGAATAAAAGTCGGGACCCATGATAAATAAGAAAACGGTCTCAAGGGGGAATTTAATTTCAGGCAGTAATCTCTTTCTTACAGTCTTGACCTCTTACTAGACCGCAGGGGGAACTAAAGGTACCAGAAGTGTTTACTTGCAAGCTTATGGGGGGAGTAACTTTGGAAGCTTCATGATAGTTTTCGGACAATACGTTCATTAACACCTAAAGAAATGCTCGCTTGTCACACCCTTTTACTTGAAAATTAACAGTTCTGGTTTGGAATAGCTTTACAAAATGGCAAGGAGGAGAATAATTTATCCAAGGCACAAAATCAATGCGGATAGCCTTTATACTGTGAAGTCGCAAAAGGTACAATACCAGCGGATCCCGGAGCATTGGATAGTGGCATGTCATTCACCCTATCGGCTCTTCCATCCAAGCAGACCCTTCTTGAGATTTGTTCAGGAGCCACGTTTTAAAGCAAGTCCTGTGAAGGTAGGGGATGACAAGGTGGGAACGAAGGTCTCTGCTCACGCGAACAACAGTTTTTTTCGGTTCTACAAGCTAATGGAATACATTCTGTTTTTGGAATGGTCAGTTGTTGTCCTGGATAAAAGAAACCTGAAGCAACATAAATAATCAGTCACTTTATTAGTAGTCTGCCGTAGGTACAGCTATTATCAGTGGTTTGTAAGACGACGGATGACTTCTTGAGTTAAGCCTATTTCCACCGAAGAACTCCACATATGCATCAAACCTCTCCATGACCATATATCTTGTGTCCCACCATACTTTACCAGATGCGGCTCAAGAGCAACTAAACCTTCCCGATGAGGTTTGTACCGTAGCCCAGTCACTTTCTTTGTAGCTGTTTTCCGAGCCTTTTCTAGGGCGGCAAGCTCTTCCTTCAGGTGAAGGGAAATAACTAGCAAATTTTTCTGTAGATGAGGATGGACATATAGTCAGTATGCCGTGGTGAAAAGACGTGTAATTAGACCGTCTATAATACAAGAACGAAGCCCAGGGACTCCAGATCCCGTGTTGACTTCAGGGCGACAACAGAGAGAAACTCCAAGTGTGTCATTTAGGGCAAATCTGGATTCTTTTCAGTGTTTGAGTGAGAAATGTTTTTCCCCCATGGAGTGAGAACTAGAACTACACCTATATTTGTCTGCAATAGTTGTCTTATTCCCTTCCGAGTTAGGAGTGAGCAGTTTCTAAATGATTCAATTTTTGATTTTCGACTTAAATGTTTGTGTAGCCGAGATATTCGTAATCCCTGTATTTCACACCATATCTTGAGGTAATCAGCCTACATTATTGGATCAGAATCTAGGCTTGCTAGCGAGTAGTTCATAAAAGGCAAGGAACAAGTGTGGAACTCTTAGGGCCGTCAGCACTGTAAGACATTTAGATAAGAAGCGCATTCTGACTGACCGAGTTAAGGTAACTTCGCGTTTGCCCCCATAGGCTGAAGTTTATCTCACAGGATATCGTAATTAACCCTGTCAAAGGCTTCAGAAAAGTCAAATAATTCGATATGAATAGGATAACGGAGAGAGTTTAACTATTCCGTATCATGAACTAGTTTGTGTGATATAACCTTCCAGGTAAAAGAACTTGTTGATGCACACCTAGGATTGAGTTCTCAAGTAAATAAGCACGAAATTAATCACCTACTGTTCTTTCCGTAACCCTTGCAACTGAAAAGCACAAGGAGTTCGGTCTACACCAGGTTTGAAGCTATTGGAGTCTTACCCTTGATGAACGGCGGCGGATTAGAATCCTTTTTCTCATGACAAGTTGTGGTGAGGATAAAGCGAATTCAGGTATGTTTAGCTTACAAAACAGCCTTATCTTTTAATATGTTGGACAGTACAGCATGGTTATCTGGTGAACATTCCACTTTCATCTTCACAGCTACAGAAGAGTCTTAGTCGATGTTTCTGTATTTTGTAATGGAAGCGATAACGCTCATGTTTTTCAGTAAATTGCGACAGAAGCATAGGATCAAATCCAACGTTTTTATTGGCCACATGTAGTGTATTAAAATTTGTGGGGCTAATTGGTTGCTTTGGTAATGTAATGTTGCTCAGGGTTCGATTTCGTAACGCAAGTTGGAAACCTTGACCTTAGTCATATGCACTAACGGAGTTCTTTTTATGTTCATTAGGCACGACATAAGGGTGTAGTTAGTTCGCATCATAATTCTCAATGGCAGAAAGATTCGAATCCTCCTTGTGTTTATCGAGGTGCGTCTCAAGCATCGATTCTTGCAATGTCGACAGTAGTTCTGAATTTCATTTCAGTGCCACTCAGTGTATTTTTTCTTTGGAAATGCTTCTATTCAGGTGGAGATAAGTACATAAATGTCCTCACTCTAATGATGTATTCAAATAACTTTCCTGACTTTGACCCAATATTATTTTGGACTAATGAGCTGGAAGTATGGGTTTATTTAACAAATTATATGATTCAAGGCGACGTTCTTATTTCCTCAGTGAGTTAAAGGCACTCATTTTATTTATACAACTGTTTCCATTTTACAGAAAGTTATTTTGGACACTGCCGGTCTCAAGGCTGCAGAACTACACCTGTTATGAGTAGTAGATTTTGTTCTGCACTAGTTCGTCTTTTAACAGACTGAAAAGCATCGGATTCACTGAAACTCCAGTGACTAAACAGACAAACATCCTAAAGGGGAAAACTGCCCAGAAGTATCACATTTTAAGTCCGCATGGTAGATAGTGACTTTTACCACGAAACTCTTTCGGTTACTTCTAAACATCACTCCTAAAATTTGACTGATTTCCTGATATTTTGCAGTCTCATTGTCCTATGGTGCAACTGACATGCCTACACTTGTTTCTTTGGGCGCATGGCTTATTCTCTGACAGCGTTGTCCACCTTGATATCACATTCTATCATTCTATCATTCTACATGTATACTACTGTGAAGTTTGGCAACTTAAACCGATATATTTGTGTCCAAAGTTTATGTTTACTTTGTCTCTGTCAGCGATATGTATGCAAGTAATTCATTCCAAAACTTAGATTGAACAAAATATTCAGTGCTTGGTCACATATAAAGGTGGTTGGGATTGAGTAATGGTTACAATGAACTGCTGATGGTGAGACTGAAATAAATGCAGTAAGTTCCTGAAATTCGCATAGGCTTTAGGTCTGGTCAGCGGTGAGTTTTTGACAGTGTTACTCATCAGGTTCGGGAAGTAGTCGAAAATTAGTTGTTTCCTTGATGCGGAGGTGATGTTAAGCTCTTGAGAGGAAAATATTAAAGAGATTGTCGAGCAAGCACTCTATAAAGGCCATAACTCAAACAGGTGTAAATCCTGAGGTGTTATCTTATACAAGGAAACCATTAGTACCCGCAAGAATACTTATTATCTAGAGTGGCATTTAGCTTTATGGCACACTGATAGTGAATCATCGTGAATTCAACTTCTCAGAGAGGAATTCGCTTAGTGAACCTTTGCTTATGGTAAATTGCTCAAGTACCATAATTTTTGAAAAGCCTAGTGAACATATTGAACGGTATTTTAAGCTTCTGTCGGTATGTTTTGCACTCGTAAAGTGTTATATGATAGTGAGCTGTTTTGAACCAGCCTGTGCGTCGATCACTTTACTTATATGGTAAGTTGCCTCAGCGTTTATGGACTAGTTACTGATAAAGTCCCAGCACTCATTTAGCTTCTGGGACACTGGCATACCTACTGGCTGTCGACACTTTTCATATTTCTTGACCTGAAGGTGGCACTCGACTCGATCGAAATCCACTCAGCAACCTTTTGTGCAGTCGCATGGTAGGCAATGAGCCACATCTGTTGTGTGAGGGCTAGTGATACTTTCTGGCTGCCTTAACCTCGGTAGGTGGAGTTGTGGTCGAAGTCGTGGCCTACTGGTTAAAAGTCAACTCAGACTAATAAACCATTTGACTCCATCGAAAGTGAGGTGTTGTGGCAGTGTCTGACTGAAAGGAGTACTGAGCAAGTATAGAACACCAATCAAAGGCCTCTACCCGAAATCACATAACCATGTCATGGCTTTTAGAGAGTTGTCATTTGAATGAACGGCAACTAATGGTGTCTACCAGAGATTCCCACTGTCACTGTTCCTGTTTGGTTTCGTTATAGTTGTAATATTGTACATAATCCTATGCACGTCTGATTTCACAGGGATTACCCTATTCACAGGACACCTTGTTGATGTGGAGTACGTAGACGATACTATCCTGTTTGGCGGAGATAATGAGAAAATGCAAGGTCTTCCGAACGTCTTGAGCATAAATCTATGTTTGGCATGGGTTTTGCACCTATCAAATGTAGGTTGAAGCTTCTCGATTGGTTTTCAGATACTCCCAGGGGGTGAAGTAGTTGGATGCGTCAATCAGTTGACTTTCGGAGTTGCGTGAGGTCGTATGTGCTGGTTGCTGACAAAACTTCACCTCAGATATTAAATGCCCGTTTGACTTATTCTTATGTGCGTCATATCTGGCTCCAATTAGTGACACATCCGACCACCTGTTAAAGGACAAGCATACTGCGCTGGAATTCGTTCTTTTCTGCTACACGACTATGAGACGTGACCTTTAAGGGCGGGTATGAAAGAGTTTCAGGTTTTAGTCTATCAGTGTCTTTGTAGCATTGTCCGCGTATGTTTGAAGCGCCATGTGAGCAACGTCGGGGTTATGCAAGGGTTGTTAGGGAAGGGAGAGAAAGTAATCATTGGGGCTTTTAACCTTCAGCGACTTCAGCGGTTGCCTTAAAACACCTGTATGCTGAGCCACCAGCTGCCCTGATGTGCAGTGCTAGAAGTTGGATTAGGTTGGAAGAAGGCTCAGGGTGGCCAGACCGAAAGGTGACATCAATGTATGGTCTCACTGTTGGTGTGTTGTGAGGTATAAACTACACCTGGGTTCCCTGAGATGACAGGGACCGGTGGTCAGGGATTCTTGGTGAAATGGCTGAAAACAGTTGACAATGGCGCATATGTATTCACATTTTGATATTTTCTGAGACCTGGATGTTTTGACTACTCTTCATTCTTAAGTTCCTTCTTCCATACACTTTTGTCGGCTTTGATATCAGTCTTTTTTTTATTCACATGTTATTTGCTTGCGACTGTCAAGGGTGGGAAATTGAACCAGTTCACTTGTATGCGGGGTTCTATTTTAATTTTGCCTGCCTGTCTGTCTGCATTTCAATATGATCTTTTTATCAAAAGGGTGTGAAAGGTAGCAGTCATTGCATAATGGCTCCAATTAGGTCATGATAGAAATTTTTGTCATTCTTATGAAGTAATAGTGCCACTCAGCTTCAATCTGCAGGTTGTCGCAATAGTCTACGTCAACTCTCTTTCTTGGTAAGCAGTACTAGTCAGTTGTTCGAAGGGCGACAAGTGTGTATGTGAAGTGCTTTTTAGGAGTTTTGCTCCTAAGCTAACTAGTTACAGCTCCGTTTCTTGTTAAATGGAACTTTTGGAATAACACTAGTTTTGTCGAACGGTTCCTCAAGTATATTTTGTTGTACATTCGCTAGGTAGTCCTCCAAGTACTTGGTTATTATATTTGGGATTGAGTTCGAAACCCGCCAAAATTCTTTCAGGAAACGTGTGCATATTGTTTGGTTGCTGAGAAATTTTGCTCAAAGTACCTGAACAGCACCACTTGACCACAAGCCATAGATGTGGTTCAAGACTTATTCTATAGGTCATGGGCACTAAATTAGGTCAAGATTATGATTTTGTTGTTGGCTTAGCATGTATTCCTAAGATATTTTGTCATGAGGTGACTTTTGAATCTGATTTTAGTAACCATAGGGAAGGTGTTCTCTATGTAAGTATTGGCATTTTTGAATAATTATCACTTAAGTAGTTTTCGGCTTTGACTTTTTCTTTAACATTTGTCATCAGTCGTCACCTTGATTTTACTGTCATGTGTACTTCTTGTTTACTGAAAACTTTTGATCCACTTCCATCTGCTCTTGCAACATGGCAACGTAACATGAACTTGTGTGCAGGTTTCTACGTTTATCTGTTTATTGACGTACGTAGTAATTCCTAATGCATTCTTCTGATAATCCGGTAACAACTATTGTCTGCATCAGATGAGAGTTCACGTCTATTTAACAAGCTACTTTCGATAATTAAAGATGATTTTAGCTCTATACCAGGGTATTAAATTTCGTCCTTTTTGCTTTATTCAAATATTAAAGATATTTTTAATAGAATGCTAGTAGAATCATGTTTAGCCTTGCAAACTAGATGCATTGTACGTAACTGCTTTGGTATTACTTTGTATGTCGCTTCTCTTAATATTTAATTTTTTTTCTCCACATCAAAGGCAATGTACCTAATATCAGTTTTTCTGTTATTTTAGACTTTTGTCGGGTATGTCGATGTGAAGGGACTGCATCTAAACCTCTATTTCACCCTTGTTTATGCACCGGTAGCATAAAATATATTCACCAGGATTGGTAAGTGTATGGAATTTGATATTCCAAAAAGTAGTTGGTAATGCATTCTTAAACCCTTCTTTGTCATTTTTGTACATAATGTTTCTGATGAATCAAATGCTATAGTATTTAATCATTCTATGCCTATTTTAAAATTGCGTAACTGAATGGTCAACGGAAAATCGATCCTCAGTTATATTTGTATCAATCCAACTGCATTTGTCTGGTCAGACGTGTGGAATTCTTACCTCTTAAATTACTGGTATTACTCACAAACTAGTATGTAAAATGCATGTACTTACTGAATTGTAGGCATTAAATCAATCACTTACTAAACCTTTGTAAACGTAATGATTACATGTTCCAGACATAAGATGCTTTAGAAGTTTTTGATACTCCCCTTTTAAAATGAATATGTAGATTAATTGGTTCAGTGTGTGCCAGTTCTACACCATTGAATATACTGCGATAACAGCTGACCATTTTAATAGTCTCCTTTTGTTATTCAGTCTGGATTTTGTAAACCGTCATGTATCTAGAGCGGTTATTCATAAACTTCTCTCTCGTAAGCAACTTTTAAGGAATTCCTATTATCAAAATTAGAAGAGGGCATACAAGCAAACAAGATTGTTTTCAATTAGCTCTCGTCAGGCTTTATTCTAATATGACTTTTCCTACCTACATAAAACAATAAACCGAATTCTTAAGTCTGTGTTGACAAGGTAGTGGAGTATGTAGATAATAATAATAGTAATTAATTCAGTATTTATCTTGGTGGTGACCATAACAATGAGAACATAATACTGCAGACATTTAAATAAGCAATGTAGGTCAAAACCTGGTAGAATGAAAGTTGGGTAATACTAGAGAACGTAGTATGTAGATAATCAGTCTAAATAAATAAGATATATATGTGAAAGGGGTGAAGGAAAGGAAAGGAGTTGAAACAATCGGGTTTTTCTTTGGAGTCATGTATGAAGTTTTCTCTTGCCAAGGCAGGGATAGAGGCTGCGCAAACATAGAAATATTACATTTTGTAATCAGTAAAAATACCATTTAGAAGATACGATGGGTCACTGAGCAGAATGGTGTACAGAAAGATCGCATCAACGAGTCAGTATATGTATTTCCTTAGCATTGTGCCCATTCTACATAAAAAAAGCTTAGTTAAATATCTTGTAAGTGGAGCCTGGAAGATCCACTCCGATGATGTATTGAAGAAGAAGCTGGACTACATTCATAACATGCTGGTGGAGCTGTTGCTCATTGGCTTAGAGAGATAACTTCCAAACAGTGGTTCGAAGGTTCGAGCCCCACCTGCCGAGATTTAGGCGGCCAGGAAGTGTCATTAGCCCTCACACAATAGGTGTCGCTCATTGTCTACTGCTCTAATATGCCCAAAATTGCTTAGTGCATTTTCTCTAGAAATAGATCATACCCATAATTTTATGGAAATATTAAAAAAATGAGTTGAAGATATGAACAAGTGATTGTTCGAAGGAAATCATTAAGCTCCAGCTTAATGAGAATGCACCTAGTATAGTTCTGTTCCAGAGGTTGTCTGGAGCCATCAGAAAATTTCTGTGCTGTTAAGCTTTGCTTAACATTTCATAGTTGGTCGACCATTGTTGCTTAGACAAAAAAGAAGCTGTCCAGTTTGGCCACCTCTGTGTATTTACTGATTCAGTTGCTCATGAGGAGAAAGCTGTCGGAAGCACCGCCAGACAACCTAGTAAGCATGTTTCTGAGCGCCTGGCATCGTGGCTAGGAGAGGGACAATTGAAATCGATACGAAGTTCAATTCTGTTGCATTCGGTTTATCTTGGTCATATAATAGATAGATACGAGCAAAACGTTCAAAATCAAATATTGCATCCTACAAAACATTTTGGGTGGAGTTTAAATCCGCATATCACACAGTACTGAGGTTATGAGAAAACAATTCTGATCTTTGTGTGCAGAAATGGTTTGTACAACCCTCCTCTTTGCTTTGACAAGAGGAAACTTCATATGAAATTTCAAAAATAAGTTCAACTATCTCAATCCCTTTCCTTTCTTTACTCCTCTCACATATATTTAGAATTAGATTTTTTAGGTTGTCTAAATTCCTTATTCTTTAGTATTACTCAGATTTTATTCTTCCAAGTTTTGACCTACATTGGTTATTAAACTGTCTATAGTACCATTCTGTTCTCATTATTTTTATCACCACTAGGATAAATACTGAACAGATTACTATGATTATTATCCAGATAGATACTGTTTCCATACTTCACTATCTTGTTATCACAGACTAAGGGATTCTCCATAATCGGTCTAATGTTATGTATATATAAGAAAAATTGTATATTAGAACAAAGCCTGTTGAGAGCTACTTGACAAAAATGTTGCTCGCCTATATGACCTCTTTTAGTTTTCCGCTTGATCACATTGTATCTTTTTTGGGCTATCGATTATAATTCGACAATAATTGAGTCAAACATAATCGCATTTACAACTAACCAAGTGTTGCCCAGTGTACCAAAAGTCAGCTCTTCAAACAACATTTTAAAGTTGTTTCGTTTTTTAAATTTAATATACTGACCTAAAGTATGCGTGTGTTGTAGGCATAACTAATATTTAATGGACGAAAGTTGTAGTGTGAAATCCAATTCAGTTCTTTTTTTAACTTTTTCTAGTTGTTTACACAAAAATGAATAGGCAGATAATCGTTTATTTATGTGTAATTTCTCTATATTTTTTTAGTCTTGTTCGTTGGCTTGAATACAGCAAGAGGAATACTTGTGAATTGTGTAATCATCGATTCACATTCACTCGAATTTATGCTTCTGGCACACCGCGATTTTACCGTTCACTGTTTTAGTTGCAGGATTGGTCAATAGCCTACGTAGATTCATACTAAATTGGATTCATCTGTCAGTTGTTTTCACCGCATGGTTAATCGTAGTCCCCTTGTCTGCATGTCGTATGTACCGATGCCTTTTTACAGGTAGTGTTTTTTCACTCCTGACACTGCCCTTGGATATGGTTTCTACAAAACACTTGCTACAAGATTGTATTCAGGTAGGCTGTTGTATTGAAAATTTTTCTTGTTAGTGATTTTTCACCTTGAGAATTCGTATCTGCTTAAACACTCTGAATAATAACTAGCTGTTGGAAAAAAACTAGCTATCGAAAACAGTCAAAATTACGTATGCAGTGAAGAGGCTAAACTACTTGATAAGGTGGAGAACTCGGGTCACCGTTCATCTCGACTCAAGGCTTTGCTTTTATCAGGAATCAGAGACAATACTTCGTACTACCCAGGCGCCAACGCCAATCTGTGGAGTTGTTAATTGGCATTTTAAGTTCTATTCAGAAGTGTAATTCCAATTGCTGGTCATATGACAGGATCAGTAGCATTTGAGTGGCTGGATTTATTGTGTGTCTTGTTTTAAGAAGTCATAATAACTATTGCCTTTAAATCGATTATCCTCAGTATTGTTGTAGACTAGCATTTTGTTAATATATGCTTGATAGATTTGGGATAATAAGTTCTTTCTAAAATTTGTTTACGTGGTTTAACTAAATTTCACTTACAATTAATATTAGGGTTTCATAATTGTAATTCTCGCTCTGGCTGCATTTTTGGGCTATGTATCGCTGAGAGAACAACTTCTTCAAGGAGCACCAGCTTGGTTAGAACGTGATGCTCGTGCAGGTAATTGTATTGCATTTTATGTCATTAATTAATTACTGTTGGAAATGTTGTCGGTATTACTTCACTTCACACATGTATGTATGACTTCATGTGGTCGCAAACTTGACTGTGAAATTCATATGTCCAACCATAAACGATCGTTTATGAACCAGGATTTGCTTATGCACTTGGTTAGACACTGCGGCTAGACAGACTGACACAGTTCAGTTGTTTTGTGCATCATGTCTTCTGTTACAGCTTTTCCACTTCCTGTGCATATGATGTCGCTTGTTAAGGAGGTTTTACCCAAATAAGCAATGGAGATAACGACTTTCCACTAATTAACAGTGCAGATTAGCACACTCCCCTACTGACAATTTGTGCGCAGAATTCGACTGTTTAGTCCGGCACCTTACTACTGTGAACACACGTCTAGGAGTGGACCATGAAAGCCTCGTTTCACTTCAAATCAATGAATGCAGTTTTGTGTAATGTTGCATGAATTTGAAAAATACAGATGCCATCTCAGTGAAACTTTATCTAGCCATTCATATCAGGGGTTTTCAATGCATTCTGGAGGCTAACGAAAATTAAAGAATTTTTCATGATTCAAAATGATAACTATGCATATCAGTTTTTCCGAGGGCTGACCATAAAGTAAAGCATTTAAAAACTTAAATTTGAAGTTACTACTCATAATTAAGTGTGATAACAAGCAAATATCCATTCAAAAGTAACATAGCTTTACTTTCTGGATTTACCAGCTTGAATTACGTTGGTGGTTAGTTTAACGAAATTCGTCAGTAGTATTTCGTTAAATGGTCTGACTAGCTACTGCAAGTTTGTTACATAAACTTCGTTTACACTTTATCACTTTTCAGAAGCCGCGCCGCTGATGCTCCTGCGGGCCATGGTGGACGGCCTTTTTCCCAGATATTTTTAATATTTTCGGCGTGGCGAATGGTGGTTTAGGAGCTGCAGTTTTCGGCGAAGGAAACGAAGAACCTGCCGAACCTCAGGTATTTAACAATGATGGGCAACGGGATGGAACTGTGCAACAAAGTGCCGTAAATGTTGCTCCTGCTTCAAGCCAATCTTCCTTTGTAGCCTCTCCTGCTTTTAGTCAGGAACCTCAAGCGGTCAGCAGTACCTCACAGTTATCAACATCGAGATCTGAAGTAACAGGTGCTGCTACTCTTGGATCATCATCATCAAGTCCACAACAGTTAGCCTGGTATGCAGAAGAACCAGGGTTGATTTAGGGGATGATATCCCAGATGAAGATGCTAGAGTTGATGATGGAGGAGATGCAGATGTAGCAGAAGCAATGAATTGGAAACACTTATTGGGTCTAGATGGATCTTTGAATTTTCTGGAGCATGTCTTATGGCTCATTGCTTTAAATACCCTTTTCATTGTCATATTTGGTGAGTTCTACCTTGTCATCCATACCAAAATTTCTACTGAGCTTGATAACTCGCCAATACATAGTCATGGCTTTAATGTATGGGCGAATGACGACAGCTAGCCAATGCATATCTGTTCGGAGGGAGTCCAGTTTCAACTGAATAGGAAGCACATGCCTAAACTACTGAACCGCGGCCAAAACTATAAATTTTGATGCATGAAATGCGTAAACTTGTATAACATCTACATTTCTTAAGTACAACATTACTTTATGTGAGGTAAAGGCAATGACTGATACAGAATTCTACACTCAGTACATTGAACTCTGTTTCGAATCTTGCTTACGCTACAAGCCACTGTGAAGTAATAAGTGATGTGTGTAGTAAAATAATTATTTCAGCTGAATAGTTCTGTAAGTTACCAGTGTAAATATACCACTAACTCAGAAGTAGTGCACAGTAAAAGTGAAGCTGTGGCTCACTGATCTCAACAGTTGACTTTCAACCTGTGAGCCATTAACAACATCACTGTGTAACTGTGACAAAATCTATTACCGGATAGTCAGACTAAGAAAAAGGCACACCTATAAGAAGGTGTATGAGAAAAGAGAGGGTAGACAGCACTCCGAGTACGCAGCCCACCATAGGCTTTAATACACACTCTAATGTTCAGATATAGAGTCCTAAAGAGGATGGTGCACTGACCTGGAACCCTTTAATGAGAGACACTGCCATCAAACCTCTTGATCAAAAGAGTCATGTGCAGCCGTCGAACCGAAAAATACAGCTAGTGTCGGACGCATGTAAGTTTGCTTGTGTTCCAGAACCTGGCGGAAGGGAACTATCTAGTAGGTACACTGTCAAGCAGATCTGAAACTTACTTGGGATTATCGGGTTTGTTGTCCTCGAGTATAACTTAGTCATATAATGACCATATAATCTAACATCTTAGGTACTATGATCTTCAGACGAATTCTTCTATTGTTCTTACAAGAGAATGATGGAATGGGAAAATGAGATAATCGGCGAATGATACCAGCTGCAGGGGATCATATCTGATTGCTATATGCCGGCTAACCCGTTAGTTCAACCAAGACTTCTCGATCGCCGTGCTAGCACATCTGGCCCTTACGCACTTACTTATTTCAGAGTTACTTACAGCCTTCTCAACTTCTGCAAATGTTAGGGACCTCATTTCAAAGTTCTTCTTAGAACAGAATTTGGAGGCTAGTTGAACTGTTGCTCTGAGTGTTTCGCCATCATTCCAATGGTTTCCCTCTAAGAGTATTTCGCAGATACATTTCTTTCCTCTTTGATCTCATTAACCGTTCATTTTCTTGCCCTAGTTTCCTTGATTAGTTTAAATAATTGTTTATTTTTACCTATCACCCCTGCCTTTTTCATTTCTTAAGCCTTTGCTACCTACCACTGTTCATCTTCATTGCGTAGGCTTTTCGTTAGTCTGCATTTGAGTTGCATCTGTTCCTCTCTGTGTTCAGTCTGCATTAATGTATCCACGTGCACCTATTATCTCAGAAAAAGCTGGTGAGATCTACCGACCCTCTCTAACATTCTTTTGAAAGTTAGTTATGGTTTTGAGCGCTGCACTGACAGCAGACTTGGAGATGACCGGCACAAGGCTTCTTCTGCATGAGTGGCGTCCTCTTGCGATGACTGACGAACCTGTTCTACTTTAAAAGTAGCCAAAGCATCCTCCTCTTCAAACTGTGCATGAAAGGGCCTGACAGCTGTAGTTTTTCTCCGTCCATTTAGGTACAGATATTCTCGGGATCTCTGTTCAAACATGTGCTAAAGAATGAATGCGCGTCTTCTACCGACCCTGTCCAGCGATATAGTCTGTATACCTGCCGTAGAGTGGAAGCTTGTGGATATCATGTCAAATGATGTCATTCTTTATGGCTGAAGTTCGTGCTGGGTAGTAATAGATGGATATTTGAGCACAGTTGTAGCAGCCGGTCACCATTATCCATTCATTTGATTATACTTCTGGAGGCGCCACCTAATTGCCTTTTCACCTAACCTAGCCTATCCATTCGTGCATTAAAATCACCTACTACGATAACCAAATCAAACGGGTGGCTTGCAGTACGAGGCTAGACAGTTTTATGTAGAACTCATCCTTCACTTCATCCTAGTTGCAGTCAGTGGATGCGTAAATATAGTTCACAGAGAGGCAACCAGTGGTTCACAGTTTCAAATACCACTCCACTTACTAAGGTTTTAGTAGCCACATAGTATTATCAGCTCTCACGCTATAAGTGTGACCCGTCGTCGAACATCCACACAGTTGCTTAGTTACAATTACGGTACAGTTATAAGTAAGATTGATACGGATTCTCATTTGTGAATGTAATATGAACCCTAGTATTCAGCTGATAAGGTTATGAAACTATCTAGGTGACTCATGGGCTCATTTTTCCAATCCAGCAACCGGTACATGTTAGTATCAAACTTTTAGGCATCGGTCACATCTTTCAATTTTGCATGGTATGGGGTACTGTAAAGTGGATGTAAGTTTTGGTCAGATTAATCTAGTATATAAATAGAAAGTATTTTTATGACGTATCTGGAAATTTTTTGTGTACGAGACTGACAAGGTGGTACGATACCTTGCAAAAAATTGTGTTGACCTAACTTGAAGTTTTTCACAACAGAGAAATGAAATCAATGGGAATCAAACTGTGTTAAGATAAACTGGAGACGTATGATAAAAAGAACCAATAAGTGATAAGTAAAATGTTTTAAAAAAGTGAAATCATTTGCACCTCTTGAGTGATTTCAAGTCATGTCACCCAGGGCTTACTATCAATTCTTAACATCTTTTGTACTCTATTGAGGTGGTGTACACCTCTCAGCATTGCTCATGCTAACCTTCGTGAACCCTATGAATTAGACTACATATCTTAAGCTTCTAACTTATTCCTACCCCATCCGTCTTACCACGTCGAGGTAAATGACCGAAAAGAAAGAAAGTCGATAGCCACTCAGCTACCTTGTGCACAGTTGTGCAGTAGGCAGTGAGCCACACCTAGTATGTTAGGGCTGACTATATTAGCTGGTTGCCTAATCCTCCGTAGGTGGAGCGGTGTTTAAACCTGCAACCCACTGGTTGAAAATCAACTCCCCAAACCAATAAACCGCAACTACACCGGTAAACGACCACTCAGAATGTGTCAAACGTGCCATAGAAAGTTCACGGTATACAAGTTTCCGAAATCATACACTGAATAACCAACATCGTCTATGACTATGTTTACAGCCTCACCATTACCTCCTTTATCATTTTAGTCCAAGGAGGTTGTTTTGAAAACATCTGTAATCGAACATTTAACCTCATACCGTTTACTTACGGTATCCAGAGTAGCACAGCGAAATCCTCCTAGGTAAACTCACCGTTTGATAAATAGTTGGGTTTCTTTCTTATTAGTGTTGGGATCAAGACAGCAAACAGCTCACTAAAGGCGATACAGGATCATTAAACAAAGGGCTTAACTTATTCAATCATTTCACTCTTAATCTTGAAATACTTGTCAACACACACTAAATGTACTCAAGTCTTTTCATTTTGTCATTATCCTCTTCATCTAAGCTATGGAATAGAACCTCTCTAGACCACATACCAACCCTCGAGAAGCTGAAATTAAGCTGATACACTGCCATCAACACATCTACAATAAAGGTTAACGGAAATTTTGTCAGTGGATATCTCTGACTGGGACTGATTGTTTGTTTTCATAGTTGAACAATACTTGTCTTTAAATCCTTGCACAAGTATTTGAGCTTAATTCTTTAGGCCTTCTTTCTTAATTGAATATCTGATTGACGATATCGAATTTCGCCTTTCGGATAGTAAATAAAACCAGTTAACAGATACCAAGGTCCTTTTTTTGTACGTCAGATAATTTTTATTATTATGTTATATGCTGATTCGTGCTGATTTTAACTGGTTTTTTTTACAATTTTTTTCTTTGTGAATAGCATTTTGTCCATACCATATGGGCCAATTTACTGTCTTGGGCTTCAATTTGGATCGTTTCGTAAGCTTAAATTATTGCTGCTTACTTTGGTTATTACTTTAATTCCAGATAAGTGCAACTCACATGGAAGGCTTCAGTACAGTTTGATTGGTTACATTATTTTCGCTTGTGCTTTGGTCCTCATGCATGAAATGTTTGTTATTTTCAATATGCCCAGGTAAGATTTTGATGCTGATTATTTTGTCGTTTTCTAAATTTTCGCAAATATGCAACTTACTGCCCCAACTTGCGAAGAAACCATCATCAGAAACAAAAGAGAAATATGGTAATATAAAAACAAAAGCATAAAAAGAGAGTTGTCTTTAATGACTTCCTCCTGAAACCCTACAGTTATAATTTTGACAATGTCCAGTGTAAATATGACGAAGAATTTGTTGAAGCTATTGCTCGCTTAAGCATTACCTGCTTTGAATATTAATTGGGATCAGAACATAAAGTTTCAAGTGTTCAACCAATCTTGTCTTTGTAGCACAGGATATGTGTTGTGGGACCACCACGTCAGTTACTTAGAACGTACGCATGAGGTTTTAAATCAAAGAGGTAAGTTAGCTGATCAGTTTGTGAAATTTCATCAACTTACATGGTTGGGACACGTGTTGTGGATGCCTAGTCATCACTGTTTGCATCATTGCTCAATGTTAGCTGAAGGAGGTTTAGGCTAGAAAAAACCCTAAGGTGATCATAGTGAAATGTGGTATGCATCATGAGGTCTTTGATTGTTGATCTGAGCCGTGTAAGAGAATGTAGACATTTCTGTTGAGGTCTGTGGGACAACGAGAATCGATGGTTGGAGACGTTAGGCAATGTGATCCATCATCGATCGCACCGGCGCAGATGCATCTACATCTTTTTTTCATCATAATTGTCCTTTCACATTTCATTGTGGGTTCACTTGCTTCCCACTCTTCTTATGATTTCCTACTCCTTAAGATTGCTTTCTTCATTATTTCTCCGTCTTTCATTTTGGTGTCTGCTAACTTGATGTTCTGATGTGAAATGTAGTAACTGGAATAGTCACACAGTGATACCAGGTATCATGTTGTTATTTACTGATTTAACCGAGATTATTCACTTAAATAAGAAAATAAATGCAAAAATCTATAATAAGCTTTCAGACGTGGTTAGTGATTATGTCTCAATGCAAACAGAATTTGTAGATCTTTAAGCTTTCAATTTATTTCATCCATCAGGAATTTTTGCCATTACTCCTCACGAATCGCTTAAAATATAAGGGTAATGATAGATATAGAGTAAACTAGTGTTTTTTTTTATTTGGAGCTGGGTTTCTTGATTAAGAACATAGTTGGTCGTTAGTCCATTCAGCAACCTTTTAATACATTCGTGCAGTAGGCGATGAGCCACACCTTTTATGTGAGTGCTATTGATGCTACCTGGCTACCCACACTTTGGTGGGTGGAGTGGTTTTCGAACCCGTGACTCACTGGTTGAAAGTTAGCTCCCTAAACCAGTGGGCCTCAACTCCTTTGAGGGTGGTTAACACTGAAGAAGACCTTGCTTTTTGTTCTTCAACATTAGTAATTGGACTATAATAATCATTGCTTAAAACGTTATTCAGTTGTCTCTTCAGTTTACCTGCAGTTATTGAGTCAATGGTTTCAACATTTGTCTCCACTAAGTGTAGCATCCGAGCCGCAATAGCTGGTTGTGTAGACTAGAATCACAAAAGCGATGGTGTTTGTGACTACCCTTAAACCTGAATGTGTCATTCATTTGAACAATCCGCTTTCTGATTTAAAAGATAACTCTACGCCTACATCTAAAAAAAGGGTCGACTTGAAGACTAAATTTTTGCAGATTCACCACATTAGCTAGTTAAGGTCAAGTGGATATCTCTACTTGGGCCATATATATGTTCATCGGAAATGCAACATTCATCCATGGCCTAAAATTTCTGGGTTTTGTCTTACAAATCTTATTGTCTGATGTGGTGATTCGCCCAGACATTGAAAGCACATTTTCTGTTGGCCAATTATGCAACTGTGTGAAATCGAGCCTTGTTAATAAACTTTGAAGCTTGGATATGTAGGTGATCCAGAATTCCTAATAGCGGGAAGGGAAAAAAATCAGAAGGCAAGGCACTAGCAGATTCTTTGTGTTTTTAGGGGACTTAAACGCTGTCAGAGGTAAAAAGGTGATTGACACTTCCCGGTTGTTCACACCGTGAAAGTTCACTTCTTCCTCTTCTTGAGGTACTTTGAAAAAAAGTGTATTGGTAAGGGTAATCTTATTGACGTGGGTGTCTAACCATGTTCATTTGCTTAAGGCCGGTCACACACAGCCTTCATGAAAGCCTTTGATTTATGCTTAGTGATAGTATGTACATATTCTAATAAAGCCTTAGCTGCTGATACCAGATGTTCTTGATATAATTAATCTTATACTGTCTTCAGATGCGATATTTTTCTGTCACCTCTTTCTTATGAAAGGAAGATAGCAACAACCTGAGATGCTGATTGTCTTTGTGAAACACTAGTGCTGTAATATCGCACACGACTAGTATTACGATTTCACCCTGAAACCACACCATGGCTTAAACTTTATGAACAATGAGTGTAATTGCCTTCACAGTTGAACCACAACTTAAAGACTCTTACAGTATGGTAGGAGCGTGGCATATTGGGTCATTGAGACAACTCCATCCCGTTATTGTTTGTTAGTTTTTTTATTTTGAGAAGTCAGACGAGAAATTGTTGAGTGTGTAGGATTCAATGACTAGGAGTGAAACTATTCAAAACCTATGACATTGGCAGTGACGCGTTCACCTATTTTGTTGTTGCCGGTACTCATCTTATCATATGATTGTTTACTCACGTAATTTGTTCTGCTTTGTTTTTCCTACTGTTATTTTTATGTGTATTTCCCATGTTTCCCATTTATTTCTCCCTATATTTTTGTACGAGGTGTGCTATATATGGTTTTTTCTCTTCTCATGTTGTTTATGTATTTCCTTCTCAGAAGCAAGAATGGCTTTTATTTGCTAATTTTGGTACAACACCGTTGCAACGGATAACTAGGACGACTAAATAGCGTATATTACCGTTGTTTGGAGAAAGTGATCTTGAGTTAGAGCCTTAGGCGATAAGCATTTATTGAGGTAGAACGTGTTTCACTAGTACGCACCTACGTACATTGTTCAAACTCTTTGAAATATTGCTTCAACCTGATGAATAAATTTCACAATCGGTTATCAAATATAATAATTATTATTTATTTGTCCCTTGGGTTTTTAGTGTAACATAGAGCTTCAGTAGCACATCCCCTTTCCACTCTCTTCGCTGAAATCTTTTGAACCTGGCTCCACGACAGCCCACAAGCTCTCATTTCTTCCTTATACTATCTCCATGTCATCCTCGTCTCAGACGCCCAACTCGTCATTCCCACCTGGGTTCCACTCGAGTGCCTGGCTCGTGATGTCCCCGAAAGGTCTTCTCTGTACATGCCCAATCCATCTCCACTTCCTTCCAATGCATATTTGTTCAGAGATAGGTTCTTAGTTGGTTCGTTCCCACAGTTCCTTGTTGCTTATTCTTATTATTCTGGCCATCTGAGCTTCAGTAACGAGCCAGTGTAGGCAGTTGTTGATGAATGTCTGTAGTTTGTTGGAAATGCCTTTCGTAACGCCCCAAATCTCTCAACCATCACATAGAAACACTGACTTGACATTGGTGTTGAAAATCCGGATATTGTTCACGCTTTATGCTGAGTGCAGTGCAGTAAATCTCCACACTGGTTTCAGGCTAATGAACGCTTGTCTTGCTTTTCGGATCCTGACTTTGCCATCCTCATCTGTGACACCTGTAGTTGAAACAGTGCTGCCTAGATAGGTGTAGGTGAAAGAGGCTACTTCCTTGAAGTTTTTCCCGTTGATGGTGATTGGAGCTTGTTGTTGTTGGTGGTGGTGTTGGTTGGGTATCTTCATCACCTCTCTCTTCTCTGCGTTCACTTGAAGTCCTGTCTTCGCTGCCTCTCCTCTTCTGTCAACTTGTTAGTTTTCGCCTGTAGATCTTCGAGTTTGTGTGACATTAGACACAAGTCATCATCGGCGAAATCTAAATCTCCTAGGTTCTTTTCCGCGGTCCAGCGTATCCCCCTCTTCTCGGTCCTCACTGTTTGTTGCATGATGCAGTCCACTACAATCAGCAAGATGATAGGTGATAGTATACAGCCTTGTTTTACTCCTGTCTTCACTTCGAAGGCATCACTGAGCTTTTCATTGTGGATTACTTGGCATGTGGCGTCGTCATATAGTTGTTGAATGAGACTGATAAAGGTTTGTGGCATTCCGTAGTGTTGAAGCAGCTGTCTGCCAAATTACTTGTTGGTCGACGCTGTCGAAGCAGGGTCTTTTCAAAGTCGATGAAGTTGAGGTAGATGGTTGACTGTCATTCTATACTGTGGTCTATGGTGATGCGTAGCTCAGGGTAGCATAGCAATTCGATCCGCGCATAATTTGTACTACCTGAATTCAGCCAACCTGTTCTGGTCATCTTCTGCTTCACCATCCTCCTCTCCTCTATCAGCTTCCGTGTGTCCGTGGAGATCCATTCCTTATCTTCTTTCTTCTTGCTTCCTAATATGGTTATGCAGGTTTCTTTCCACATAGCTTTCAAAGAGTTCCAGTGTTCTTCCACACAGGTTTCTTCAGGGATGTTGCTAGATATCTCCCATTTTGTCTTGATGGTTGATGTGATTTTCTTTGTAGTTTCGTCCTTCAGTTCAGTTTCTATTCTGGGTGTTGAACTTGAACTGTGGTCTATCACTAACTTCCATGATGGCTTTCAACTTGATTTTGAATGTAGGTTCCTTGCACTGGATAGTGGTCTGAACTTGCATCTGCTCCTCTTCTTGACCTTGTGTCAAGTAGGCTGCGTCTCCACTTTCTTGAGATTGAAATGAAGTCGATCTGATTTTCAGTGTAGTGTGTCCTGGTGTCTGGTGAAATCCATGTCGCTCACTACCTTGTGAATATCCTTGTGTTTGTACACGCTGCCTCACCTGCAATCACCAAATCGTTGAATGCACAGAATTCTGCAAACAATTCTTCATTCTCGTTCATTTCACCTAGCACTTCTCGACCCATGGTTAGTTATCTACCTGTGTTGTCTGCTCTGAGTTTGGCATTCATGTCGCCCGTTAGAATTTTGATGTCGCCAACTAGAGTGGGGTCTTGTCGAGTGTTGATTGCAGTTGTCTGTAGAATTCCTCCTTCTCTTGTTCTGCATTATTTGTAGGTGCGTAGCGTAACGTAGCATTGAATGATTGTGACTTTCCTTCCTTTTGAGTTGAACCTTGTTGTAATGATCCTGGAGGAGATTGGTTCCCACTGTATGAGATCCTTCGATGCTCTTCAAGGGGACATCATGATAGCCACTCGAAACTCAGTGTTCTCATGGTTGTCGTCTGGGTGAGAGTGTCGGAGTAGATTACTGACTCTGCAGTTGACAGTTTGTAGAGTCCACTTCCATTCCATCTGCTTTCACAAATTCCTAACACTTCGATGTGATACCTTCTCATCTCCTATGCAATCTGGGCAGCCTTGGTAGGTTCAAACATGGTGCGGACATTCCATGTCTTCACGTTTACTTTCGCTTTCATCGACGGAGAGAAGACACATCGGCGAATTGGCTTCCCGAAGGCTTTCACCAACCGGCGTCATTTCGCCTCTCCGATTCCAGTGAGGAATAATATTGTTTTTGTTTTTTATATTTTGTTTGTGCTTAGAAGTTTCTTTAAGGATTGGATTGGTTTTAGGGGTTAGGGTTGCTAGTCGTATGCCCAACCTTAGGACTGGCTAGTAACTAGTGAACCAGTTAACCACTCGAGGTTTTATCAAATATAGGTATCTTTTTTTATCACTATATGTACACCGAACACCGCTGCTTGTTAATTATGACATGGAAAATGATTTCCTTCGAACATCTTTCAACTTCCCATTGCTCATATTTTTCTTTTGAATATTTTACTGTTGTGAATAAACAATCACATCACTATTTTTACTTGCTTCCGTTACCTACACAGGGCTTGTTACTGGACAGGTCTCGGTTACGTATACATCAAAGTTGCTTTGGTTTCTTTAATGGAGTTAGGTATTTTTCCAGTTCTTTCTGGATTTTGGATAGATGCTTGTACCTTGGTAAGTCTTTCTTGTTTATGGGAAAACATTCGTTAGTGCGTTGACCTACTTAGTATTTAGTAAAGGGTACCGTTTTATAGTTTTTTCTATTTTTTAATTTGTTCTGATTCTGGTGTCTGTGGCGTTGAAAAGACTCTATGTATGTGCATATTAATTTGATATCAATGTCATCTTCATTTATTTATTTTATTGATCAGTTAAATGTAGTTTGTACCGTTTCTCACTTTCATCGTTGTTTTAATAAACACTTTGTCATTAGGGGATGTTTTACTGTGTTAGGATCGTTTCGGTTCGCTAAATCATCCCTTTATCGATGTTCTCTACTCTGAAAATAAATGCAACTAGTTGCAAATCATATGTACTGTTGTAGCTTGCTGTCTTTAGACTGCACCTTTGATAACAGACAAATTTGAGTTAACTAGTGAAAAACGGTATGTGAAATCTAAGTGTTCACGTTGCCAAAAATTTTTCTACTCAGTTGACACTTTTTAAATCAATCTGTCACAAGATGTTCTACGTTCCTGTGGTAGACTAAAAATATATAAACCAAAAGCCTTTCTACGATCAATTGTTTCACTTTCAGGGACTCTAGCATATCTGTCAGAAAACTGAGACATCTAGTAGAATCATGCGACCACTCTGTCAGCTCTTCGACACAACTTTTGGAAAAGATTAAGCATATCCATATCTAAAACGATGAACTAGTAGTGTTTTTCGACGTTACAGCTCTAAGCACCCTAGTTGAACCGAAACTAGCTAATGATTCTTGTCTTTGCTGATGATACACACCGCTTGGAGCACACATAACTCCAGTGTTCAAGTTTAATGGGATTAATTAATTTATGCCTTAAAACTTATTTTCAATTCAATGGCAAGCTCTACATACAAGCAAAAGCGATATTGTTTGCATCACCTATGTCAGAAATAATTTCAGAAGCAGTAATGCAAAGATTGGAAACTGTCATATTGCTGTTGGTCGAACCAAAACTTTGGGTCCGATATGTAGATGGCACGTTTACCAACATTTAAAAAAATGAATTGAGAAACATTTAAAAATTAACCAACAATGTTCTCGACGACATCAAATTCACAATTGAGGAGGAATCAAACAACAAGCTTTCGTTTTTTGATGTTCTGGTCACCAGAACGGAATCGGGGAAATTGGAAACAAGTATCCGGAAAACCAACTCAAACGGATCAAATCTGCAGCTACAATAGCAACAACCTGACAGCACACAAATTTGTTTATATAAAAACATTGTTCAAAAGGGCGGAAACACACTCTAATACATCAACCTAACGGAGGAAAGGAGAAAACCATTTGATGACTTTTCCAGAATAAGGGCTCTCCACGCAGCTTCACCAAAATGTTTTTGCATAGTTTACTGTCAACCAAACAGTTATCCTTGAAAACCAACAAACATTTATTTTACCTTACATGGTGAAATTCTTTTGAGATTAGATTACTGAAGCCTTTCAAAATTGGTGTAGCTCACAAGCCTGAAAAATCTCTTCACATTGTTATGCAGGCCAAAAGAAAAACCAAGCGTTATCCACAACATAAATTGTGAAAAGCACTATGTAGGACAGGATGATCGCCTTCTTCGTATCCACGTACATGAACATCAACTGGCAGTGAAACCTCATGACAACTTCGCTCATATTAATACATGTAGAGAATTGTGGGCACGTATTTTACTCGGATGCCAGAGAATTTTTAGAAGCTTGGTGTCCAGGTCAATCAGCGATCAAAAGGCATATTGACACTGACCCAATCTGTTAGCCAATAAGAAACACCAAGAATGTCAAGGTTCACATCGGCAGAATAACCAATTGAAACGCGTATGGAGACATTGAAAGGATATTAGCAGAAACAATCAATCATACCGAAGGTCGTCAGAACAGGCTGTTAAGCCACTTGTGTAGAAAAATTCCCTAGCTCACTTTCTGAAGTTTATGCTGATGATGTTGTCTAAAATGACAATGAAAGCTTTATGATTAAACCATCCAGTTCACAGAACACAACACCACCAAAAGCGTACCAACCCAAACGGGTTGATTCCAGCTAACGGCTAGCACGATATACTATAAACTTAGACTCAAGAGTAACTTTTAATGTAGTGGAAAGTGTAATCGAAGTTTTTCACAATATTAGAAACCCTCTACAATAATTTCTTGCAGTGAATAAATGAACCACCTATTCACTTTGTTTCCAGCCAACCGTATGGCTAGATATGTCTTCAAAATTTCCTCACTGTTTTCAAAACACTTTGCTATCAATGTAATTCTGTTTGTATATGGGAAAAGTTCGTATCTGTTGCATAGATCTTCTGTTGCGATAAAGGTTTTACTTGTGAATAGGCAAACACCATTTTTCGATACAGTCTGACGAAACCTGTACAGCAAAGTTCACCATCACGTTGTGTAAATATGATACAGGTTTTGCATCGTTAGCATATAATTTTATTTAACCAGACTTAAGGGAACATTTGCTTTGAATTACACCTTGATGAACCGTTATAATCCTTGAGAAGTTTCTGCACCGAATTAGTGATCTATTGAGGTGTAGAGTAGACAAGACCATAGTTCGAATAGTAGCGGTCAACTCTGGTTTGACAAACCATCTGAGTCAACTTACTTGGTTGGTGGCTAGCAGTGGAATCCAGGACGTGCGTTTTTTCCCATTTGGGTAGTCAGCTAGATATACCTGTACGCTAGTGGGTGATGATGTTCCCACTGAGATTTGAAACCTGCATCTGTAGCTCCAAACGCCAAAGCGCTATCCATTAGGCCACTGAAACTCAAGAACCGCTTCTCGTGCAACGGGTGTCAGTTATTATTTATTGATACTTGTAATTTTCCGTTGTTATACTCCATCTCATGGATCGACCTCTGTTGACACGTCGGCGCCTATGCAGATGCCTCAATATTGCCTGGTTATTCATCATGTTGTAATTCTCTTGGTGGTGACTTGCAGTGGGATCCAGGACGCCCAATGTAGTGCAGTGAACTAGTTCTTTGAATGGTAGTCGGATATCTTGCGGGTGCCAGAGATGACACAAGATTGCAAATATTGAACGAGTCTTCTGTATTCACGGCAGTTAGCTGCTACCTCAACGTGGTGATTGGGCTTGCATATCACAATGATCCAAATAGCTCCGCTGGTGGAACGCTTGTTCTCTGTAGGTTTTATCGTGCCAGAAAGGTTTGTTAGATAGTGGTTAGTCAAAAAGCAGTTACTGTAGTGTAAATTACTACACTATGGTCGGATTCTGTAGGTTAGGTCATACTACTGACTAGATGGGATGTGAGAACAGTCAGGTGTTTCCCTTAGATGACCAACAGAGTACCAGGCTGATGCAATCTTCCCTATGGGAAGGGAAAGTGGGGGTGAAAACATCCGCACCAAAAATAGCACACTACTGTCCCCTCGCGCCATGCGATGTTTGCAACAGGGATTCATAGTCGGATTTAAAAGCAAAAACCCAAAATCTCAAAATAGCTGAAAGTCCATGTATGGCCGGCCTCAAGCGGATGTCCTATGGGATCCGCGGTCACACAGATCGTTTCCTCCTTCAGATACCTAAGGAGGAAATAACCTTTCACGATTTGAGCAGGTGGAAAGTGTCAACAGCCTGCACGCTTCCAGTAGTATACAAGACCCATTCAAACATTAACTTTCCTTCTCAACTCTGTCTCCTCCTTCGCCTTCATCTTCTGATACCAATATTGAACCATTTACAACATCATCAACCGCTCACTCTTCGACTATTGCCAATAACCGAAGCCGTCGAAACCTCATTCCTAGTCTCCTAAGACTCTGCTGTCGATATCACATTGGAGCTTTCAACGTCCGAACTCTATGCCAAATTGGACAACAGGCATCTCTCGCCAGAATTCTGGGATCTCTGGGCATGGGTTCATGCTGGGTTTCTGAGACAGGTCTACAGAACCTGAGGGTAGTTGTTACATTGACCTCACCTGGTTATTGTGGGGAACCTGAATTCACTTTACAAGTATCCAGATACCTAATGATTAGTTCTCGTGGACTTGTTAGTGTAGGCATAGTATTGAGTTGTAGAGCAGGAAGTGGACTCTGACTGGATTTCAGTCAACAGAGGTGTGTGTGCTGTCCTATTGAGTGGATATTTAAGATAGGGGTAGGAAATTGGTGGTTCAAGTGACTTTGGTATTAGGTAACGTTTGGGAATCAGAGGTAGTGCCGTCAGGCTTCTTTGATCATTTTTGTTTTTAAGAAGGGATAGGAATCTTCTTGTGAAAACCATAAGGGAATTAGTTTAACTAACATTGTGCCCACGACTTTAGAGACCATAGTTGTCAGACGCCTAACAGGAGCTGGAGATCAGAAACTCGAGGAAACCAGGTGGATTTCAGACTAAGCTGGATAAGGGTGCATCGAACATATCTTCACTCTTTGACAGGTTCTGAAACACAGGTATACTCACCGGCCAGTGGCCGACACTTTTCATATTTGATGACCTGAAGTCGGTATTTGACTCTGTCAACCATGAGGTATTGTGGGAGTATCAAGAAAGTGTAAAACGCTAATCAAAGCTCTTTAACTCACACAGTCGTGTAATGTTTTATGGAGAGTTGTCATCATAATTGAGAACAACTGGTGTTCACCAGGGATGTCCCTTATCACCGATTCTATTCAACTTCATAGACGTACTAATGACCCTTACATTAGGTATATCTGACTTCACAGGAATTGAACTTTGTGGAGGTCATCTTGACTTAAAGTATTATACAGATGTTATTGTCCCGCTGGGTAAAAACACTGACGCAATACAGGCTTTCGTGAATGCGTGGAACAGAACTCTGAATTCGTTTGGAATGCTTTCGCACTTGTCAAATGTAAGATGATGATGCTCTAGGAGTGGTCTGCAACCACTCTCAGCTTAACGATAAGGGGTAAAGTGATAGAATGTGTCGACCACTTCATTTACTTGGGGAGTTGCATCAGCCTGAATGAAGTATCGCGTCGGATGCGGAAGGTCTGTTTAGCGTTGGCGAAATTGCGTCGTGTTCGGCTGGCGCCCATTGGCCAGATATCCAACTACCTACCAGAGAATAGGTATGCTACGCTTCAGTTTGTTCTGTCCTCTTCTACAGCTGTGAGACATAACCCTTTGAAAGTAGAAAACATAAAGTGACTAATAAGTTTTGATCATAGGTGTCTTCGTTACATTGATAGCGTTTGGTAGAATCACCATGTGAGAGCAATGATCAGGTCCAGCGAATGATACTACGGAAAAGAGGCAAGTCAATCGATGAGGTTGTGAGCCTTAGTGGACTGAGATGGATTGGACATGTGTTGCGCATACCGAGCCATTGACCACCTCGACGTGCCATACTAGACGGAGTTGGATGAAATTGGAAAAGGGTTCAGGGTGGCCAGACCAAGACCTGGCACCAGTCGCTGAAGTCTCTTACTGTTGATCTGACCCATGTGAGGAAGGAGATGTAGACTGTCTGGTTGTGGTCCCCAAGACGAAAGGAATCAGCAGTGGTTGAGGGTTGACTCTTGGTGACACGGTTGAAAATCGGTCACAATGGTGCAGATGTATTCATCCTTTAACATCTGGAGCCTCAATATTTGCACTAACTGTGAAATTCAGATTGTTTACTCTCACATTACTTTATCTACTTTGATATCAGTCCTTTTCTGTCCACCTGTTCTTTGTATAGTACTGTGAAGTGTGGCAAGTTGAGTCGATGCATCTGTATGTGAGGTTTTACATTGATTTTGCCTGTTAGTTTCCCGTCTATCCAAGCGGAGATTTGTTTGGTGACTTCCCATCTGACCTGATAAAACTTCTCAAGTAGGTGAGTTGGTCAACTCTCTTCTCCACGCCGCTCTATATTTTCTAACTGATGATCGGTACAGACTTGTTTGAAAGATTTATGCTAAAAGCTTGTTTGTCTGGCCGGAGTGTTTTGTCTTCATACTACGAGTTAAACATGTGTCTGTTTGGTAGTAGTTCAAATGCTGTTAGTTTTGGAGGCATCTCTGGCTATGTTCATCAAGGAGTGTATCACAAAATTAAAGAATAACGGTGACAACAGGCATAATTGCGGGACACCAGTAATTGTCGTCATTTCAGATAACAACTGTCCATAAGCCGTTACATGGGTTGTTGGTTTCGAGTAGACAGCTTTGATTAGCATTGGATACTTGTTTGGTGCTCTCTGCAGATCGGTCACTGCCGTGACACCTCTCGATCGACAGAGTGGAGTGGCGCGTTGAAGTGAAGAAATCTGTGGAGTGTGTTGTATGGTTAGTGATGTGTGTTTTTCGAAGCTGTTTAAGGGTGGATATTTGATGAGTGTATTGTCGTCCAGGTCTGAAACCTATCTGGTTTCCCTGAGTTTGGTGATCGTTGATTTCTATCTAGGTGGGGTGTAATTACGGATCGAGGAATCTTGGACAGGATGTTAGTTAAACTGATCTCTTCGTGGTTGTCATGTGAAAATATCTTTACCTTCTTATAGATAGGGATGATGAAGGATGTAAACCATTTTGTTGGGATTACCTTCGATTGTGAAACACTGCATGATTCCTGTGTGGCTGTACTGGTTAGTATTCTACGTCGATCCTTGAAACTTTTGATGAAAAACCATCAGGTGCTGCTGCGTTTCATTGTTTCAAGTTTGAGACAATTTTCAGGTTTTTTAAGGAGATTTGGAGTATGACCATATACATCTCGTTCAGTTTCGAAACAAATTTATAATGACTGATATTTGGTTGTAGGTCAGTTGAATTGTTCTTTAGTGTGTTCCACTCAAAGTTCTCATCGCTTGCTCTGGGATATGTATGGGGAACTTTTCTGTTTTAGTGACTCTCTCTTTCATCGTCTTGCTGTCAGTTTCTTCAATAAACCGAAATGATTGCCGAATATTACCTTGTGCTGTTGCCTTATCTGTCTCCTTCACTTAAATTATTTACTACTGTTCGTGGTCATTGTGAATACCTTTAGTCCGTGTACGTTTGGGCTATTTTTGCCTTTGATTGTGGTCAGAGACAACTGACGTAAATCTTCTTGCATCAGTTAATTTGGATGACGTTGCAGAAATCGACTGCCTATTGCTATTGCGGACTCGGTCGCCATCTCACCAGAGCTATTGACGTATTAACGGTAACTGCTTTTTGTTTCGTCACTACCCGACAGACTTATTTAGTATGACAAGACCTTGGGGAACAAGTTTTTGGTCAGCATAGCTCTTTAGGTCATTATGATGATATGCTGACCCGACCACCATGTCAAGGTAGCAGCAATCGATCGGGCAATCACAGCATGTTTAAATTTCTTGTTTCTTTCCAGCCACTGCTTTCTCATTTGACGAAACGCTGTGTAAGTCCTACGTTTAATCCAATATGTAAATGCCTAGTTTTATTGTACATTTGTTTTCACACATTCTGCAGTTGCACCTTACTTCTTTATATGCAAGTTACAGATTTCAGAATGACATGTCTTAACACTAATGATTTCGAGCTTCCTTAGGATGCCGTGGAACACTCTTTTTGTGTTTGTTGCGTTCTCTAGCCACTTCATACTTAGGAAGTAATAATGTAACTGAATTATATGTCTATATGCTACGTTAGTGGTGAAAAGCAATGAGTTCTGTGACTTGTTGCTTTTCTTCAGCTGAATGGATGTACGTGACTCTCGTGCGCCGAAGCGTTAGTCATTAAACTTATAATTGATTCTCTCATTTTTCGACAAAATTTAACCAAAAGATTGTCCATAGGGAGTGTCGTTATATTTATTTGCGTATTTATTTCCTTTACAGTCTCTTTTCAATGCAACTGTAACTCAACGGACGAATGTATTTCACTATGCACCAGTGGCGTTTACTTTTATTCATTGGGCAGTCGGTATGTTGTACATATTTTACATGGCATCTTTGCTTGTACTTGGTCGGAGTGTACTACGTCCTGGGGTTTTACGCTTCATATATCACTTTAATGATCCTGATTATAAGCCTATTCAAGATGTAAGTGCTGTTGTTTTCTAGTTGGTCTTATGAACTTTGTTGTACATTAATTAATCACTGAAGAACTACCAATTTCATGTTGTTTAGTCCTAAGTACTGGTCGAGCTCTATCTATCATTTTCCAATGTGACCAACCATTAAGAAGGCTCATCACCAAGGTGCAGTAGATGGATTGTAGTCGGTTTTTGGCAATCTTCAGGAAGCCCTGAACCTAGGTTTTGTACTGATTGACACATTTCAGCAACACTGGGTGACAGGTTTGATTGTTAGAGGAGATGTCTTTTCCTACGATTATTCAATCTGATAGAAAGCTGTGTCAGATATAAGGGGTTTTACCAATGCCTTTCAGGTGTATGTCGTTGACCCATGTAAACTTCAAACACGGGACAATGCAATAAAAATTAGAATTTAACATGCATATGTATCATCACAAGTTGTTAAACTTGTGCCAACGGCACTAAAGGAGAAGGTTAACAGAACTGAAATGCAGAGAGGTTACAGGCATGAGAAGACGGTTTTTTTAGTTCTAGGAGAATATGATAATTTTATACCTAGCGTTTCCAACCATTGATTCCCGGAGCCTCAATGATTTCTCTGAAGAGGCTTATAGCGCTAAACACAGAAGACTAAATTCACTTCAGATAGGTGCCCTATTGTTTTAGCAATCTAGTAATAGTACAGTTGTACATAACTACGTAAGAGTTCGTATTGGTTAAAAACCGTTAAATCACTCCATTGCGAAAATGGGAAGGAATGTTATTATCATTATATTATTTTTTCTCTTGGGTTCCTAGTGGAACATAGGGCTTCAGTAGCACGCCTCTATTCCGCTTGTTCTCTTGCTCCACGACTGCCCACAAGCTTCATTTCTTCCTCGCACGACCTCCTCCATGTCACCCTCGCCTCGGACGCCCAACTCATCGTTTCCCTTTGGATTCCACTCGATGGCCTGGATTGGCACGTGATGCCCCCAATCGGCCTTCTCAGTGTATATGCCCAATCCATCTCCACTTTCCTCCATATATTTGTTGGGTGATAGGTTCTTGCTTCGTTGGTTCGTCACCAGCCAGAGTTCCTTGTTGCTTGTTCTTATTATTCTGGCCATCTGATCTTCAGTATGGAGTGAGCGTAGGCGGCAGCTGTTGATGAATGTCTGTAGTTTGTTGGAAATGCCTTTCGTAACGCCCCAAATCTCTCAACCATCACATAGAAACACTGACTTGACATTGGTGTTGAAAATCCGGATATTGTTCACGCTTTATGCTGAGTGCAGTGCAGTAAATCTCCACATGGTTTCAGGCTAATGAACGCTTGTCTTGCTTTTCGGATCCTGACTTTGCCATCCTCATCTGTGACACTGTAGTTGAAACAGTGCTGCCTAGATAGGTGTAGGTGAAAGAGGCTACTTCCTTGAAGTTTTCCCGTTGATGGTGATTGGAGCTTGTTGTTGTTGGTGGTGGTGTTGGTTGGGTATCTTCATCACCTCTCTCTTCTCTGCGTTCACTTGAAGTCCTGTCTTCGCTGCCTCTCCTCTTCTGTCAACTTGTTAGTTTTCGCCTGTAGATCTTCGAGTTTGTGTGACATTAGACACAAGTCATCATCGGCGAAATCTAAATCTCCTAGGTTCTTTTCCGCGGTCCAGCGTATCCCCCTCTTCTCGGTCCTCACTGTTTGTTGCATGATGCAGTCCACTACAATCAGCAAGATGATAGGTGATAGTATACAGCCTTGTTTTACTCCTGTCTTCACTTCGAAGGCATCACTGAGCTTTTCATTGTGGATTACTTGGCATGTGGCGTCGTCATATAGTTGTTGAATGAGACTGATAAAGGTTTGTGGCATTCCGTAGTGTTGAAGCAGCTGTCTGCCAAATTACTTGTTGGTCGACGCTGTCGAAGCAGGGTCTTTTCAAAGTCGATGAAGTTGAGGTAGATGGTTGACTGTCATTCTATACTGTGGTCTATGGTGATGCGTAGCTCAGGGTAGCATAGCAATTCGATCCGCGCATAATTTGTACTACCTGAATTCAGCCAACTGTTCTGGTCATCTTCTGCTTCACCATCCTCCTCTCCTCTATCAGCTTCCGTGTGTCCGTGGAGATCCATTCCTTATCTTCTTTCTTCTTGCTTCCTAATATGGTTATGCAGGTTTCTTTCCACATAGCTTTCAAAGAGTTCCAGTGTTCTTCCACACAGGTTTCTTCAGGGATGTTGCTAGATATCTCCCATTTTGTCTTGATGGTTGATGTGATTTTCTTTGTAGTTTCGTCCTTCAGTTCAGTTTCTATTCTGGGTGTTGAACTTGAACTGTGGTCTATCACTAACTTCCATGATGGCTTTCAACTTGATTTTGAATGTAGGTTCCTTGCACTGGATAGTGGTCTGAACTTGCATCTGCTCCTCTTCTTGACCTTGTGTCAAGTAGGCTGCGTCTCCACTTTCTTGAGATTGAAATGAAGTCGATCTGATTTTCAGTGTAGTGTGTCCTGGTGTCTGGTGAAATCCATGTCGCTCACTACCTTGTGAATATCCTTGTGTTTGTACACGCTGCCTCACCTGCAATCACCAAATCGTTGAATGCACAGAATTCTGCAAACAATTCTTCATTCTCGTTCATTTCACCTAGCACTTCTCGACCCATGGTTAGTTATCTACCTGTGTTGTCTGCTCTGAGTTTGGCATTCATGTCGCCCGTTAGAATTTTGATGTCGCCAACTAGAGTGGGGTCTTGTCGAGTGTTGATTGCAGTTGTCTGTAGAATTCCTCCTTCTCTTGTTCTGCATTATTTGTAGGTGCGTAGCGTAACGTAGCATTGAATGATTGTGACTTTCCTTCCTTTTGAGTTGAACCTTGTTGTAATGATCCTGGAGGAGATTGGTTCCCACTGTATGAGATCCTTCGATGCTCTTCAAGGGGACATCATGATAGCCACTCGAAACTCAGTGTTCTCATGGTTGTCGTCTGGGTGAGAGTGTCGGAGTAGATTACTGACTCTGCAGTTGACAGTTTGTAGAGTCCACTTCCATTCCATCTGCTTTCACAAATTCCTAACACTTCGATGTGATACCTTCTCATCTCCTATGCAATCTGGGCAGCCTTGGTAGGTTCAAACATGGTGCGGACATTCCATGTCTTCACGTTTACTTTCGCTTTCATCGACGGAGAGAAGACACATCGGCGAATTGGCTTCCGAAGGCTTTCACCAACCGGCGTCATTTCGCCTCTCCGATTCCAGTGAGGAATAATATTGTTTTTGTTTTTTATATTTTGTTTGTGCTTAGAAGTTTCTTTAAGGATTGGATTGGTTTTAGGGGTTAGGGTTGCTAGTCGTATGCCCAACCTTAGGACTGGCTAGTAACTAGTGAACCAGTTAACCAGGCGAGGTTATAAGGATTGTATACAATAATTTGATTAATTACCGTAAATCGTTCTTTCAGATTAGTTCCAAGACTGATGTCGACAACGCAACACAAGGATACAAATAGGTCGATTATACCCGAAAACTATTTAGTTTGAAAGGAACTGTTCAAGGCACCTCGTCACCAATTAATTTAGGCTTACTTCAAGACTGGTTTTTTCTTAAATATTGAAATTATACATAATTTATACCTTCTGAAGTTCGTTAGCTAACGAATGAGAGGTCAGTCAACTGAAGTACTTCTGAAATTATCATATTTTCTTATACTGTTGGCAAAAAAATGACTGTAAGTGATAGCCTCAAAATGGTACTATCGAAGAAGTAAATTAAATTAGATGCAAGTTATGCCTGCTGGATTTTCGTTAAGGGATGGTGATTTTCTACCTATCTTATTTTGAGGCTCAGACTGCTGATGAATGTTATGAAAAAGTTACCATGAATCACAATCCCAATAATAACTATTTCAAAAAAATAATTCTGCTTTAGGAAGGCCTTAATATTACCTTAGAATTTATTGTTTGTGCATTTTAAATCTCAACTTTTCACGCCGTGTAATAACTTCATTCATTTATTGCTATATAATTTTCCTTTCCCTTCTCACAGTTATCATATAAATGTGATTTTTCCTTGTAATAAAACTTGAAATCTGTCTTTACGGCATGACACAGTCATAAGAATTATTTTTAAGTACATTGATTTGTACTGTGTGATGATTGAAGGTGAAGTGAAAATCTGAGTATCGGGAGGACTCGAACCAGCAACCTGGTTTCCAACCCAGTGCTCACCAACTGAGCTGCAAGACCCAACTGCATGCCAGATCCCTACTTCACATCATCATCGCTTCGTCACAATATCTGTAGTGAATAATACATTTTCCAAAGTATGTTTCACGGAGATAATCGAAAAGTAACAACATGATTTGCTCTTTTCCCTAAGCTACCTACATCGTATAATCCTGTTACATTCATCATCATATATCAGAAGACAGTTTCGTTAAATCAAGTTCGGGAGACAAATGTAGACCGTGATGTCACCTTGGAATTCAACTGTTATTGTTTGCTTTATCCGACAGATTTTAGACGTACGTGTCAGCGTTAGAGTCCTGTCAGTCAGTGAAATACATAAGTTTGGCACCAAATTTAAATAAAATTGGTTCTTGATATGGCAAACTGGTCATGTAATACAGTGATCATGTCACATCTACATTAAGTAATCCAGATTTCGACATATGAGTGAACGTGTTTTAAATAACTTGCATGCCTTTCTAAGTGCATAAAAGATGAATATATTACGCTTCAGTTTGTTCTGTCCTCTTCTACAGCTGTGAGACATAACCCTTTGAAAGTAGAAAACATAAAGTGACTAATAAGTTTTGATCATAGGTGTCTTCGTTACATTGATAGCGTTTGGTAGAATCACCATGTGAGAGCAATGATCAGGTCCAGCGAATGATACTACGGAAAAGAGGCAAGTCAATCGATGAGGTTGTGAGCCTTAGTGGACTGAGATGGATTGGACATGTGTTGCGCATACCGAGCCATTGACCACCTCGACGTGCCATACTAGACGGAGTTGGATGAAATTGGAAAAGGGTTCAGGGTGGCCAGACCAAGACCTGGCACCAGTCGCTGAAGTCTCTTACTGTTGATCTGACCCATGTGAGGAAGGAGATGTAGACTGTCTGGTTGTGGTCCCCAAGACGAAAGGAATCAGCAGTGGTTGAGGGTTGACTCTTGGTGACACGGTTGAAAATCGGTCACAATGGTGCAGATGTATTCATCCTTTAACATCTGGAGCCTCAATATTTGCACTAACTGTGAAATTCAGATTGTTTACTCTCACATTACTTTATCTACTTTGATATCAGTCCTTTTCTGTCCACCTGTTCTTTGTATAGTACTGTGAAGTGTGGCAAGTTGAGTCGATGCATCTGTATGTGAGGTTTTACGTTGGTTTTTTCAGTCAGTGTCAGTCGTTTGGTCGGAAACTGTTTGGTTTGTTGTTAACTTTCATAAAAATATAAAAAATAATTTTTGTTTCACTTCGTTAAACAATAATTGTTACTTCTCTGTTCATTGGTTGTTTTTTAAGAATTCCTAGCTCAGCTGTCTACATTCTTCTATAGTTTTTTACTTGAATGTTGCTTTTTAATATGTTATGCGATATCCTTGTCAACAGTCGTCTCATCGAATACTGAATTATACCTCACTAAAGAGGAAACTGTTTCCCTAATTTATCTGGATTTTGATTCTTTTTTCCACTTGTCAATATTCGTATAATACTGCTGACTAATTGTATTTCGTAAGACAAATTGAATTATGCATACATTTTAGTCACTGAATTGTTAATCTTTGTTGGAAATCAGCCATATAGACCTAAGTCGAGATAAATTTGCCTTTCTGTTTATGCATCTCATATTGAAGTTTTTACGTGGTGGAAACTGTCTTCAGAACCACCATGTCTCTAAACTTGGAATACCATAACTTTCTCTTGAACGGAAGGCTATTTCATACTACAGGGAAAACGTATACTTGCTTAGGAGTGAGCACAAAGTTTGTTGTATGACGGGTAGTTTTATGCCTTTTAGTAGTCCATCTCAAAATAAAATGATATTATTATTGTACTGTCAATCGAAACAGCGCTAACTGTACCATACTTGTGTTCTTTATTCATATTTCAGATGATTTTCCAGCCTTTACCAGTTTACATGCAACGTCTGGTTGCCACCTATGTGAGTGGGATTACTTTTCAATCATATCTAATCGTGCACAGTTATGCAGTACTTTTTATTTCTGACTTGAGTGAATTATTTCCCTCAGTCGTTATAAAGCAAATCATTTTGTTTTAATTTAAGATTTTTCCTAACTTTTTATTTTACAGTCAGTTTGGGGTATCTTGATTGTACTTATGCTTTGGATACCTACCGAAGTGGTTCGACATTTCCTTCCAAAATTCCTACCTTTTCGTATAAATGCAGCTTAGTAAGTGAAAAGTTATCGGCTATGGTTTAACTTTTGGTTTCTTTTCGTTTTTGTAAAGCCTACTATTTTTTTACTACTGTGATATGCCTATTGTTAAGGCTAATTTTTAAGATTAGTGTGTTTAACACTAGTTTCTTTTAATAGTGAATTAGCTGGTTTCCGAGTAAAAAAGACACTACATAACATTGGAGTGACTCTAAAGTCTACTCTGGTAGTGATCGAAATAACCAATTAGGTTTCTTTGTTTCTGTTGAAAAGTCCGATTGGTTATTTCAGTTGTCATGGCGGCCTTTAGAGTCACTTTAAGATTGAGTAGATCAATTAACCAAGGTTAGCTCTCTAAAGCGTATATTAAAAGTGATAACTAACATATCAATGAACACTCCCAAACACCCTCAACTCGTAGTGTATCTGCATCTAATCATAGCTCTCAGAATTATCACGCACATATACTGGCGGTTAAGGGTTAGTTACCATAAGAAAATAATGTACAACTGAAATCAGTTACTCATTTAAAAACGAAGATCTTTCATGTGTTGTAATCAGCACTATATCACTGGAGCACTGGGGGAAACTTCAGTGCTTAACATTTTTTTCAAACTGCTTTTAACACATCATGCATAAATCGATTATCTTCACCTCTTGCTTATTTTATCTTATGGGTTACTACTTCTTATTAAGGCTCTGAGACCTCAGTCTATTAGTTACATTGCTACTTTTCGATTAACAACTTTCAGTTATGGTCTGTTTGAACAAACGTTAGTGTATAGATCTATGAACTGCACTGAATGTCGCTATCTAGTTATTAGGTGTTAAACACTAAGTTGTACCTTGTTACTATCGAAAGGTAAGTGTTATGGCATATATCTGAATTGTTTGAGTTTTTTCTTACATACTGAATATGCTGTTTACAAAATCGAATTGGTAACTATTTTGCATAATTAGCAATAACTAAGACTTGTAATCCAGAATCGTGCAATTTGTTCCACCACACTGTCCAAAACTCAGATAGACATATTATCCATACGGTGCACTGAATCCGGACAAGTCAATCACAGACATACGTATTTTATGAGCACAGCCATTAAAGATTGTACATAAATAATGTGCAGTAGAATTAAAACTGCGCATTTATGTCATATGTACCGAAGTTTGTTGAGAAATTAAATTCAGCAGGAAGACATATGACTTAGTTTCATGCAATGCGTATGTATGTGGAAAGTAGTCACTAGAATCTTTGTTGGGGTCAAATTTGGTTATATCAACTCATTACATTGGATTTAATAGCATTGACCTAACTGAATTGTAAGTGTATTGTAAATTTAATCTCTTTTCACTTTTGGTATTAAAATGTGAACAGTTGAATGATTGTTGATAAAATTTACTTCACTGACTGTCACAAGATGGATATGCTTACGTTTATACTCGATCGGTTTGTCGCAATAAGTGCTTCAGTTGTCATTTACTCTTACTAGGTCCACTACAAACATAGAACAAATCTGAATCATTCACATTCGAAGGATATTTTAATTATATTCTAATGGAGTAGGAAATAATGCCTTTTTTGTTTGGGTAAAAATGACCTTCAGCTTATTAGTGGGAGTGTGTTAAATTGTTGTTTAGCTATTTGGAATAAAGGTCAACCTATTCTTTCCGCCTTTGCATTTTTGGTAAATATTATGGTTAGTGTTCATGTGTATTCCCTCAATAAACGATGCATTCCAACTTGGAAATGTCAAGTAGTGCACAAGATTTTTGTCACATTGAGGATAGTTTAATAAACTAGCTTGTTGTTCTCTATGAAACTTTGGTCACAATTTCATCTTAGCTTCGAGAGACCCTTACAGCTTTCATATTCTATATGAGTGCTTAAAAATTTTATCAAGTTTCTATGAAAAGTTATTTTTTAATATATCCCTTTTTGACCAAATTTTATCAGTGGAGGGTAAACGAATAACAGATCATGTCATTCATACTCACTTGTTCTTCCATTTATTTCAGTTTGTCTCGCAGATCATGATATCCCATTAGGCCTTCAACAAAAAGCATCTCAGAAGCTGTTAATGATAAGCCAACGTTTTCCAGGTATTTGTTTATGTAAGGATAGTTTGCCTTTTAAGTATGCATTTACTGGAGACAGTGTGAAGCAACTAACAAATTGCAGTGTTTCAATCTGCTACATGTTAGGACTTCATCAGAAACTGGAAATCATCAGAGTTAAAGTATATAACAATAAATACCGAACATTGGATTAATTCGTTGTTTTTGCTTCGTCTATGGTGTACATGCTCAACTCGATTTGGGTCAAATTTCTTGCACTTCAGGTCTTGTGACATCCACGTTTCCGTTCAGCTTTTAAGTAAAAATCCAAGCATTTTCTAAATTTAAGCTTATAGATGAAACAACCTTTTTAAAGCAGGTTGGATTCCCGGTGCTTTGATGTTACCGTATTTGCACGACAGAAATGTGCGTTTTGTTGTTCATGAGAGTGCCTAAAACACTTCAATTATTAAGAAAACAACAAGTGTTTGACGTCATTACCAGCATATTGATTTGCAAACAACATCGGGAAAATGCTTATCACAAAATCTTTGGAATTAACATCTGCTATATATATATATATATATATATATATATATATATATATATATATATATATATATATATATATCATTTTGTCAGTTTCTCAAAGGCTTGTCCTTTACACAGCATTACATACTCTCTTATTTCACTACATTTGAGATTCATCAGTGAGAGCATTTGGAAAACATATTATGCTAGAAGTGACCTAATTTTACTTCTGGAAATCACATTTCATTAAGTTGTGTACATCAGTTCTATATGAATTTAAAACATTTACTTTGATGCATAAGGTTTTTTTTAGTCCATGTTACATCCAAGCTATTTTTATTTCTTTTTCTTGTATATTTAAGTGATAGTCCATTAGATTATTCGCTGGAGATGATCCTGTTACAAGTTGTGCTTCCATTTTTGCTAGATGTTCAAGCTAAAGCTAGTCTTCGTCAACTTTTACGTTGGTGGTGTGTAAGCGTAGCATGGATATTGGGCTTGCGTAGTTACTTATTAGGAGATGTCCCATTTTCACCCGGGGTTAGTTGACCTTTTTCTTTAAATTGGTATATAATATTGGATCATCAGTATTAACTTATTTAGCCCATCCACTCACAGTACACTTTGCATATGCTTCGTACAGAAAGCGAACAGAAACAATATGTGGGGAAAAAGTAGTGATTAATCAGAACTCTTTAAAGTTCGAAAGCATTTGATCATGATTGCATGTATTTCGTTGTTGTATAAATAAGTATGTTATGGTGTTGGGAACAGTTTTCAAAAACTAACTTTTTTGCGAATTGTTTGGACACTGCTTTCCTAAACTTATTTTTTTGTTTCGTTTGCTTACAGTTAAGACAGTTTTAGATTACTTTGTAAGTGCCTTATTAATTGGATTCATATTTGTTTGGAAAAGGTAGCACATTTCATCTGAATGTTTCCGAGCCGTGTCAGTGGCGTATGAAGCCACTAAAGCTTTAGAAAATATTATAGCTACTGTCTGAAGCCAACCGGATTACTAGAGGATACTTGTTAAGCTAGGTAAAATGCTTCTGAAATGATCAGAAATGAAGTGAATAAATTTGTGCTGTCTCCTCAAAGAATTCTTGATATATTGTCTGAAATACGTGTACCCTTTTTTTCGCTCTCATTTCTATCTTCCCTATTTTATTGGTTTTCACTTTTTGCTATTGAAGTGCAATAATTTCCGATATAGATAATCAGATATCATCAACACAGAACCTCAAATACACATGCATCGACTCAACTTGCCACACTTCACAGTACTATACAAAGAACAGGTGGACAGAAAAGGACTGATATCAAAGTAGATAAAGTAATGTGAGAGTAAACAATCTGAATTTCACAGTTAGTGCAAATATTGAGGCTCCAGATGTTAAAGGATGAATACATCTGCACCATTGTGACCGATTTTCAACCGTGTCACCAAGAGTCAAACCCTCAACCACTGCTGATTCCTTTCGTCTTGGGGACCACAACCAGACAGTCTACATCTCCTTCCTCACATGGGTCAGATCAACAGTAAGAGACTTCAGCGACTGTCGGCAAATAAGAGCAATCATACGTATGCTGTGACACCTAACTCTTTACGAATGGAATGTGGTTTGGCATAGGTGATAGGTTCCATTTGTTTTGTCCTGTCAGTAATTTCCAGTCAGATGTAAAAATAGACGAGCCCACCTTCTTTTCACTTTGGAGGTATTTGGGGATTAAATGAAATTTCCCAAACTCCGAATGCGAATTTGTGACCTGTGGGGTAAACCAAGATGGATATGAGGACAGATACACAACAATGGCATCGGATAGTGGGTTGTGCTATGTAGCGAATTGGCAGAAATAGGAAAATATGAACCATTAGATTCCAACCCAGTGGCTCATTGATTAAGTACTCACTACGAAACCTTAAGGTCTTGGGTTAGATCCTTGATGGGGTCGTCGGTAGACACTGCTGAGCCCCATACCGGAACAACTCAGCTCTTCGGTTTTCAGTGGTTCTCCAGATAATGTCAGTTTATGATGAATACCACTCTGGAATTCGCTTTGTTCTGGAAACTGTATATTTCTGCATTTGTTCGCAGTAGTTAAATGCTATTTGAAGATAATGTTAATAAGAAGCATCGTTATTCACTTTTTCAGTGTATCCTGCACATTACTATATCCTTTAGCACTGGGTCCAACTTTAACTAACATATATTCCATATGTTCCATAATACGCCGGTACCACTAGGCTTTTGAAGTACTTCTAGGATTGAGATCTGAAATTAGGCTTAAATTATAACGTCCATAAGATTTACGACTATATTTGAAAACATATCTGTGGATCTGTGGTTTATTAGTCTAAGCACCCAACTTTCAAGCTGTTGGCCACAGGTTTGAACTCTGCTTTAACTATCGTGGTCTTACCAGTCAAGTAATATCATTAGGTCACAGATCATAGGTACCTAGTGTAAAAACCAGTTCGTGATTGTTGAGTGTATGCTATTATTTCTTATCACTATATACAGCCATAAGTTCCTCATCATATATTCCTAGTACTAGCAAAGAAACTTGTATCCATCCAGTGAAGTTGTTATAAGTTAGCTTAATTTTAAGTTCATGTTATAGCAGTATGGACTGAATAACTATTATAAAATATCCTTTTAAGAAAATTCACTTTTCACTTCCTTAAATAGGATTTTATTGTAACTGAGAACGGTAGAGAAGTGCCATTCAAATCGAGACTATGGCCACGGGCTGGAACGTCTTTGTCGAATAGTCATCCTAATCAAGAGTTAACATCTGGTGAATCATCTCAAAAAAACTCAAGTAATGACGTTAATAACCTTCAGACAGAAGTGTACACTGTATTTTCATCATCTCATGAAGGCAATTCATCTACCAGTAATCCATCTTATGAACACCCTCAACCTGAAGGTGATGGACAAGAGGATGCTAATGCAGATGATGAATTTTTCACACGTTATGTGCCATACAAAAGAACGAGCTACTTCAGACTACGAATTTCTGGTCTAGTCGTGATGTTACTCATTAGTCTGATATGTTTGAGTCTAACTTTAATGATCGTTCCAGTTGGCATTGGACGTTTTTTACTGAATTTGAATGGAAGCGGCTCCACATCAAAGCACGATGCTATCGCATTGGTGGGCGGTTTTACTGTTCTGGGTTTGTTGCTTCGTTTGGCTCCGTGGTAAGTTTAGTTCAATATATATATACGAGGATAAGTAACTAATTTAGCAGATGTTAGGAAGCCAGTGACTAGAATAACCTCCCTAATTCTATTTATGTAACAGCTCAAAAAGGCAAGCAGATCTAGTTGATCATTCCTCTGATTCTACCTTTCTCTGATGTATTCTTTTGAATTGTTTATAAGCATCAATTATTTTGTTTACTCTGTTAACCAGTTGCTTTTCGTGATGCTTGTTGTAGGTTTTACGAATTAGTTTGGAATCGAACGCCTACTGAAATTTTGAGAACTAACACCTTCCCATTCACTGTAGAAGTGATTGAGAAACTGCATATTAGACTAATACTTCGTATCTGCATGCAGGTAATATTCATCTGAGAAATATGTGGGTCATCTAAAGTTAATAGGGTCAGAGATCACATACATAAACTGTAGAGAATGATGATAATGACAGAGTTATTATTCGTTTATTTATACAGTGTCTTCTATAATATTTCGATGTAGATGTTGTATCGAATTATCTGCATGTGTTTGTGTATGTCAGTAATACAGAAAGTTATTTTCCGGTAGCCTTCATGAGGTGTGAATCATTGTTATGTGTAACCAAATTTCAGTGTATATTCGTAAAATCCATCGTATAAGGTGTATTTTACTTGAGTTATCCCGACGAAGTATGTTAGAACATATAGCAAAGTTAACAGATATTTTGTACTATTCAGAAAATCGAAATACACTCAGCAACCTTGTGCACACTCATGCAGTAAGCAATGAGCTATACTTATTGTGTGATATTATCAGGCTGCTCGAACCCGTGCTTTATCGATTGAAAGTTATCTCAATAAACCAATGACCCACAGCTCCACTTATTCATAAGACGATAGTAGCTTAGTTTTGTGAATCTAATTACTTGTATCTTTGATTAGACTTATTCTTCTTTTATCTGTCAGTGCTTGACATTGATCGATGAACTGATGATGCGAGCTGCCAGCTTAATCTTTCTTTGCAACTGTTTCCACAAAGACAATTTAATCTATAAACGCTCGTAGGAATGGTCATTTTCGATAGTTTCTCTTTTCCTGTTATTAGTCGTCTTGATAACGGGAAGATCAGACAGACAAAATAAATGCGGGACATCACACAAAAAGTTATCGGTTCAAGTTGTCACATTTCTCAGCAGTATACAAAGAAAAACTTAGTAGAAAAGGAATAATATTAGAATGGACAAAAGTGTTTAGTAGTAAAGGGAGGAAATAACCAAAGATTAATGAAAATGTTTAAACTTTCGAAGTTGTCAGAAGGTGAATACGTTTGTCCCATTGTGACCTTTTATAGCCATACCACCAACGATCTACAACCACTGATTTTTTTTTATTTATCTCGAAGACCCCAACCAAACAGTCTAAACCTCCTCACACAGATGAGACTAATAGTGAGAAAGTTAACAGTCTTGTACCACTTCTTGGTATGATAACCCTTAATTTTCTACCAACTCCAGCCTATTTCAGCTAATATCGCACGTCGAGAAAGGCAGTGGGTCAGCATGCTCAACACATGTCCAAGACACTTCACTTCCTTCATCGACTAACTTGTCTTCTTTTGCTAGTATCCTGCGTCCTTGTTCACCACTGCCAGCATAGCGACTCAACCAAAAGTTAGAAACGCCACAAAGGCACTTATGATCAAAACCTTGCAACAACTTGATATGTTCTGCCTCCAAGGACCCTGTCTCACAGACGTAAAATAGGACAAAACGAACTGCAGCTCAGCAAAATTGTTATTTCAAAGTTGTTCAGATATCTTACGGGCGCCAGAAATAATTCCAAAAGGCAAGTATTGGATGAGCCTTCTAAATCCGAGCTGCATTTTTCTTCAGTGACCAACGCATCTGGGCTGATACAACTCCCCAAGCAGAAAACGTGATCAACGGCATCCACCACAGCTCTATATTTCCAAACTCAGGGTCGATGATGCTGGCCAGTTTGGAAGCACTGTCTTTCTCTAGACAGGTTCAAAATGCTTGTCAAACATACTCAGATTTGTGCTCAAGGCTTGTTTGACTAGCCGGAGTGTTTTGTCTGCATACTACGAGTTAAACATGTGTCTGTTTGGTAGTAGTTCAAATGCTGTTAGTTTTGGAGGCATCTCTGGCTATGTTCATCAAGGAGTGTATCACAAAATTAAAGAATAACGGTGACAACAGGCATAATTGCGGGACACCAGTAATTGTCGTCATTTCAGATAACAACTGTCCATAAGCCGTTACATGGGTTGTTGGTTTCGAGTAGACAGCTTTGATTAGCATTGGATACTTGTTTGGTGCTCTCTGCAGATCGGTCACTGCCGTGACACCTCTCGATCGACAGAGTGGAGTGGCGCGTTGAAGTGAAGAAATCTGTGGAGTGTGTTGTATGGTTAGTGATGTGTGTTTTTCGAAGCTGTTTAAGGGTGGATATTTGATGAGTGTATTGTCGTCCAGGTCTGAAACCTATCTGGTTTCCCTGAGTTTGGTGATCGTTGATTTCTATCTAGGTGGGGTGTAATTACGGATCGAGGAATCTTGGACAGGATGTTAGTTAAACTGATCTCTTCGTGGTTGTCATGTGAAAATATCTTTACCTTCTTATAGATAGGGATGATGAAGGATGTAAACCATTTTGTTGGGATTACCTTCGATTGTGAAACACTGCATGATTCCTGTGTGGCTGTACTGGTTAGTATTCTACGTCGATCCTTGAAACTTTTGATGAAAAACCATCAGGTGCTGCTGCGTTTCATTGTTTCCAGTTTGAGACGGTCTTCCTAACTTTTAGTTTCGAACCAAATTTATAAGTGACTGATATGTGGTTTTAAGCCACTTAACATTCTCGTTGGCTTAATGTAGGAGAGAAACGTGGACGCTGGAAGATTGTTGATTGTATACAATACGATGAAACAGTTTATTTACTGGATAGCGTTTCGAACAATTTACAGCGTGCTTTTGTGTTTTGTATGAAGTAATTCCACAATTTCGTGGCATGGATTATGCAGTTCTAATTCTCAAGTACGTAGTTCAGTTTAGCTTACCGGTGTCAGTTAGGTTAGTACAACATAGAAACAGCTAAAGATAAATTGGTAGACCTTGGTAAGATGAAGAATGTAAAGAGGAGCTTTACTACAACGGTGCTGTCACACACATTAGTCTAGGATAGAGGGACATATTTAACAATAACGCGAGTAAATTTTAGGATAGAGCAAAAGAATGAAAACAGAACTTCAAAAAGTGGTGATTACCGTGATACGATTATGAGCCATAAGTTTTACTGGACGTCATCAGGAAATATTGCTGTTTCACTGCGTGATATATAAAAAATAAGGACCTTTATGAAATAAAATTGCAGTCTGCCACAGTGGCCAAATGTTATTCTCATACCACAAGTAGTTTATGTTACCTGCATCGATAGCCTACAACGGGTGAAATTTGTGACACTTTTTTCCACGACGTGGAATGTGCAGTCGTGGAATTTCGTTGGGCGATTTTCATCTGATTCAGCATGTATCATCTTCTGTGGTTGAATGCAACTACTTACTCTTTTTTCTTTGTAGTTAACTTCAAAAATCCGTTTTATTCTTCCTACAGCGCTTTATTTGTACACTTAACCCTTGCTTGAAATACTCGATCTCGGGTTAGATTGTATGTAGTGAATAAGGGAGAACCCATTCATTTCATAATTACCTCCTTTAACAATGCTATCCATTCTTCTTTGCCAAACAGATGTTGAACGATTCGACCCCATATGGCAACGGGGAATTACAAGTATCAGACAACAATCACCAGCTTGTTTGTTTCATACATAAATTGGGAGTGAGTGGGATTCAAAATAACCACAAGGTCTCCATATTTTTTTCATTTACCATGAATGTGTTATCTGGAAATAAGTACGTCTTGTTGTTTGATACTTGTAATTTCCCGTTGCTATGCAGGGTCGAGTTCACCGACCTCTGTTAGTAGAGGGGCCCTTATACGGATTGCTGGATACTCCAGGTTGTTCATAATATTATTTTTATCTTAGTGACTAGCAGTATGTCCTGTGGCGTCTTATTTTTATCCTGTTATCTTATCGCAGTACTTTTACATTCTTATTTTCCAGTATACCTTTTGTTTTCTCTGCGTTTTGGCAAGTCATTATTTTAATTGGACAGTGTGGTAATCTAATTTCTTGGTCAAGACCACTTCGTGTGTTTAGAATTTGGACTCGTTTGGGTACAACTTGTGAAATTACTATCCGACGACCAGCACTTCCAATGGCCCCAATGGCTGATCTAAATCGGCGTTATGCATCCATTACTGACACAAATATTGGAATACATGTACGGAATTGCCTGCGCATATCACTGAATTGGTTTCGCCTGTTATGTACTGCAGTGATTCTACTTGGCATACTACCATCAGCTATGGGACTGTTGGTCAATTTTATTTTCATTGTACCCTTCCGTGTTGGAGCTAGGAAAACGATCATTATTGGATTTTGGGAGGTTTGTTATGATCTGATTAATAGTCTTCACACTAACTTGGTTACGATAACTTTAAGCTCCTGTTTAAGTAAACCTATCAGTATTATTACAAGACGTTTCGTGATAATAACCTGATTTGTATCGATACGAAGGTGAAAACAAAGTAATATCACATGAGAATGATTTTTGGGTTTCGTAAGCTTTGTTGAATGATGAATCTCTGTACGTCTGAATGATGTGATGACGGAGTGAGTCGTTGATATACTAAGGACACTGCTATTACCCAAATATCTTATCAAACACAAACATAAACACCCAACTGCCAAGTAAGGTTATCCTAACCACATAGTAGGATAGAATAAGAACGTCTGCTTCAACGACCAAAGACTTAAAATACTACGGCTTTAGCTACTGAAGTGTTTGATTTTCAGTGGAGGTAATAAGAAGACTTAGTTTGTCTGAACCGTGTAGTGTACTTGCGCAGCACATTTTGTACAATCTGATCATACACGTACTTATCATCCTACTATTTTACAGTAATATCATTCTCAAAATGAATCCCAATAAGCATTGGAAGTTAAGCAATTCACTTGATAATAAAAATCATATAAATTATTTCCCTGTTAACCTAGATAAGTATGTGATTATAATCTTTCTACAGTGACATCGTCCACATGTTAGAAGAAATCCTTTCCTTGAAGTTAGATTTTGTATTCTTTACTTGCAGTCATCAGACTTGGCTATTCACGTACAGTTTTAAAATCATTACGGCCACCTGAAACCTCTTGTTTCAACTTCTAGTGACTATCGGTGCTGGTTGAAAGCTAAACGGGTGGATATCACTCACCAGTTTTTGATAGCCCTCAGAACCAGAAAAGCACACTAACTCTTTAACATTTCAGAGCCACGAAAAAACTACGAGATAACCCTAGTTCTAGTTTTCAGACCCGGCAAAAGACTCAGGTGTTGTGACCATAGATAAAATCAAATATAAATGTAGAACATCTTCTACTCTTAAAGATGAAAATAAATTTACCAGAGACTGCTCTTCAGAAAAAGTACGATTGCTACGGGGAACAGTAGCCGCTAATTTAGTGAAACTACTCGGTATAAACAGGATTACCTAAGAAAAATTTAATTCATTGAAATCAACAGCCACAATTACCACATCCTAATAATAATAATAATAATAATAATAATAATAATAATAATAATAATAATAATAAATATATTTGCTTTACTCTGAACCATAATTATGTTTATGGTACAGGGTTCTTAGCATTTGATATTGCATAAGTGTACCCGTTGTACAGCATTTTTCAAATATATACTAATAATGGTGCTGTTTAACAATATGTAATCAAGAACAACATGGTTATTGAAATGTCTAATGACTTCAGAGACGTAATAACTGTTCGTTATTGCAAAGTTTATTGTTAGGACTACATTTGATATGATTTTCTACACACAACACACAAGCTAAATAAGGTATAGTTGAATTTTGTATGTGGTCGTGCATGCATAAAGTTTAATACATTTGCTTCTTGTCTTCCCGAAGGACAGACATAGAGAGAGGTGCAGATGCGGAGGATTCTTGTCATCAGATAAAATATTCTTAGTCAGCAGTTTACCGCATTTATTAGCACGGCCAGTGGTGTACCACTCGTTCTACTAACAGCCTTCGAAATCCTACGTAACACATCGTAGTCTTTTTCCCGGAGTCCAGGAGAAAATAAGGGAGAGCAATAAGTAGTTATAGGCAAAACACAGTAATCAATGACACGTAAGAGTAGGCGCTGAGTGAGTTATGCTAGGCAGTCTGAGTTTCCTTATATAAAAAGCCAAGCGAAAGGACCAAGAAAGATCAGAAGCAAAGCATAAGCTAAAATGGACCACTCTTGATACATTCGCTACAACAGAACCATGTATATGACAGAAGTTATGGGACTGAAGGAATTTACAAAGGTGTTGTTCACGTTTAAACTAAAATTAACCGTTTTACATTTTGAGGGATTAAGTATGAGGCCATTTAAGGGAAACCAGTGACCAATTTCAGTTAAGAAGTTATTAAACTGATAACAATCTGAAGAGATGATCGGCATGGATACTGTTAGGTCATCTGTGTACTTAACAAAGTTAGCTTTAGTTGAAGTTGGTAAGTCATGCAAAAGACAGACCAAGAAAGGAGAAAGAACGGCACACCGGCTTCACCCAGTAGTGAAGTAGAGCGCTTCCGTTTGTATAGAGCTTAGTATCCTCTCTCGGAAAAATAACAATCAAGACTATTTACAATCCAGGACTCCATGTGAATTCTGGCAAGCTTGTCTAAGTAAAAGGGGTTTAGGGACAGAGTCAAAGCCCGTCTATGTTTAAGACATGTCGATGATATCCTAATTATATTTGATAATTCAAGTCAGTCCGCTTAAATTCTAAACGGATTGAACGAATCACAGAGCAGCATATCCTTGACATGTATGGAAGGGGTCGATGATTGCTTGGACATATTTAACTAGTTGGTGGCAGGATGGATCCATAAAACGATATGCCTTCAGAAAAACTGCATGGACAGGGCAATTTTCGAAGTATCATAGCTTCTGTCTACTTCAGTACAAACTAGCTTTAGTTAAGTTCTTCAATGAATATGTGTAGATGATACTTTCAAAGACTAGACAAGAACACTGATTGGAAAATTGTCGGAAAATAACTAACTAACTAAATTTGTTGGTCGATGCAAAGTAGCCAAGGTGCGGAGACCTGCTCTTAACTTTGTCCTGAACAAGGATGTCGTCATCAGTCTTCCGTACAAAAGGTGACTCGAGATGCAACCATTAAACAGAGACAACACTGTTATTAGAACGACTTACTATGTAACCAGGGTCGGATTAAAAGAAACCATCAAGCCTGTGTACTTTGTTAAACCCTTACAGCATGAGAGCGACTAAATCGCATCCCATTACATCTACTTATTCAAATGTACGTGTGGTGAGACATACATCGGGAAGACACATAGATCCATCCAATAAAGTGACTCAGAGGATATTGCAAAGTGGCTTCAGAAGCAAATTGAATCACCTGAACCCATAAATGTTGGTAAAAGACTTCTAAGTTCCTCGATTGCTAAGCATTTCGTTGTGACACATCCTTTAGACATATGTATAAAACGTGTTGGGAACAGATCCTTAACGTTGTTGAGGTTTTAGCTACTAGGAAGTTTAAGCCACCTTTGGTTATCCCATGACAATCTCTTATCATATTAAACCTAGCTCACTGAGATCAACTCTGAAACCAAGCTCGGTGTACTATCAGTTTCGCTGTATTGATTTTCATTGTTATTTGGCCTTCTTGCATGACCTTTTCACATTCTCATGTCATAATTTTATATAAGTACCTATGACAAGTACGTGTGTGATCAGATTATTCAGTCTGTTAACTAAATACATTACACGGTTCAGACAAACTACGTCTTTTTATTGTTTTTCGAAGTTTATAAAGGGAACTAATTGTTTCAAATAGAGATAGTGTTACATGTGTTTGCGCGAATAAATCTTATAATTTAATTTTGAGGTTTGTGAGGATTTATTTATTGATATCAGGTTGCTATTCAGTCCATGATGAATACCAATCTGAAATCTTATGATTTTTAACATGTTTTTCAGAAAATTGCCATCTTCCTTATGTTAGCTGATAAACGTCAACTCTGATAAGTCCACAATATTAAAAGCGCTCATTCAATGTAAACTAAAAAGATGTGTTAGCGAAGTGGACTGTTGTCATCATAGCAGTATTTAGGTCAGAGGTTAACTACAAACTGGCGGCGAAATAATTTCCAAACTCCAAATGAGAATAACAAGAAATATAAGACATTCAAGGAATAAGCAAATCCTTTTCATGAAATACAAAAAATATGCATATGCTAAAGTGATGACTACAGTTCAATAATACGTTTTGTGAAAATTAAGGCTTAGGAATGAAAATATTGTTATCAGTAAGAAGAAGGTAAAGTTTCCGATACTGAAGTGCAAGTTTATCAAGCAAATAAGGATAGATTACGTTAAGAAAAATCAGCTTCATAGTGTTACTAAGTTTTAGAATTAAGGCCATCGAAGCAGACAAGGGCTAGACAGAGCGCTTTTGTAAACAAACCTGAGTGTTTCGGTTATCGATAGAAAGGGTTTCTGTTGTACTAGGGAACAGCAAGTGAGATCCCTTCGGGTAATCTAGTCTTAGTGTAAATAATAATGGGTGCATTTGCTATGAACACTGGGTAATCAGATAGAACAATATGCTAAACAATCAAGCCACTACTTAGTTTGCATTCTCCTACTGACAACCAAGCTGAGACATCCTCACCAACACTTCTCTACAATGTCCTGGTGTTATAACCTGTTTACTTAACTCTAAAGCAGCAAATAAACTGGTTAACACGCTGTTGCTAACGCTGCTACCTTGTATTTGTTGAGTTGCCATGTTGATTGAAGTGATACATAATCACCATCCAATTAATTTTCCCTGAACTTTATTGAAAGGGAAACTTGAAGAATCTCACTATATCATATTTAAATTTGAGATTCATACATAGTATCACTTTGATGCTTTTAGGTAGCGCAGAACTCTAGACTTCCTTTTCATTTCACCTATCAATGAATAGTTTTTTTCGGTAGAAAGTCAATTCTTTACGTACCGCTGGTGTGTGACAAATCTTCAAGGTGGAAGAATGAAATCCCATTTCCTGCTTATCAGAAGTTGTGAGATCTGTTCAACACTTGGAGATACCAAGATATTTTTGTTTTGAAAGTAAAGAAACTGATCTGACAAAAAGCAATATCTCCCCTTAGGTATTTCGCTGATAGCAAAATCGGTGTACATGTTAACATTTCATTCGCTGTTTTTCCACTTTCACCAAATTTCTTTGCAAATAGGATATTTTTATATGTAATATTTTGTTTTTTCGTTGATTAATCGACATCTTTTGCGGTTCCCATTGTTGGTAGGAGATAATGGATGACAGTAGTTTCGAGAGTGCATCGTACATGCAAGGTTGTTTTCATAACTGATGTCAAGCCAAACTTGTACTGATTGTGCGATTTAGAGCGTCATTTCTCAAATTATTATTGGGTTATTTAAATCCTAACTTCGGAACTGTACATCCACGTAAATCATCGACCCGTCGCTTATGATTTTAGTCGTCATTATTTGAATGCTCAAGTTTTTAAATTTATTGATTCGTTTAAAGAATTGTAAGCTGATCGACTTAACTTTTCATGAGGCTGTGTTCAGCGTGTTTTAAGATGTCTGTTTGAATCAAATACTTGTATAAGCGTAGCATTTTATTTTTTTGCTTTTTTAGCATTGGATATTCGGGATAATGCTTCTGAAAGTGACTATTTTACTCACTCTTATTGGACCTCCTTGGTGGTTGCGGAATCGTTTAGAGGTATTGCATGATGAAGTTTTACATCACCGACAAAATGCTCGGTCTATGCGTCTGCTTTGGGCAACTGCACCATTGTTTGTGACCATTGGATTATTCTTAAGTGTACCCTACTTGATAGCCTACTATATCAGTCCACTTCTCGGTAAGATATTACGCATAAAATAAGGTTTTCTGAATATACAGTTTGTATATTTGCATGGTACAGAAAAAACTTACCAGTTGTATTCCTTTCGAAACGACAATCAGGTTTGTGTACAAATGTGAACTAGAATGAATGCATCTCAAAAAACAAACATGAAATACGAGATAAACAGTGAAAAATCTCAGTATGTCAAATCGCTACAAGCTAAGACAATACTTTGATGTTGAAATATTTATTTTTTTAACTTCCTAAAAGTTCAACGTGTGTCAACAAATTTATCCCGCCGCTCACACATTCTGCAGCTCACTTTGAAAATGCATAGAGTATACAACTATTTTATAATTCCTGTGTGATATAACTGTACTGCCCATGATTTCATGACGAAATCAGTTGACAAACAAGATTACTTCGTGAGGATCCTGTTCATGGGTCTAAGTAACTGACCCTCAGTCAAGTCGTGGGTTCGAAACCCGCCCACCAACAGAGGTTTGAAGAACCAACCAGTGAGTTGAATTAGTTTTCACACAGAATATATGGTCTATTCCCTAGTCCATGAACATCGACGTGGCTGCTGAGATTTTGAAGTTACCCATGGCGAAATCACATCGAAATTAGCGAATTAAAATATTTCATCCTGTCAACTTTTAGAAGTGTATTTTTATGACGATTTTCGTACATCTTTGTCTACAAACTCCAACTGATGTTAGTCCATGATGAATACCAACCTGAAATTCCACTTGCCTAGCATAATATAAGCATTAATTTCACCCTCTGAAACACAATCAAGTAGATTTTTCATCTTCCTTTTCCACGGTATATTGAAGAGTGTGGTGTGAGTTGGACAGAACTAGGTTAATGACTTTTTCTGTTTTTGAAAAAAATATGTGGTCTCATTGAAATTTTTGGTATAATTAACTACGAAATTTTGTTACGCTGTACCTACATTGGAAAACAATTCGTCGTCGCTTTGGTCTATGAAACACCACTTTTTACAAATGAACCGTAGTCAATAGTCCTTGTGCTGTTAAACAGTGATACATTAATAATCGTCATAGAAAACTTAAGTATTTTGAGAGAAATCTGGTTGAAGTGACGAGATAAATAATGAACTAGGAAAGTACACAAAAATACATCAGTTCGCGATTTCACTGAAATGGCGAAATTGTATTCGGCACCACACTGCATCCTGTAAGCTTCATACAAGCTGACCTGAAAAATACATTCTCATGAAAAAGCTTTAGTTTTACAATGTTTGGTGTTGTCAATTTCTGTTGAATAGATTGTCATTGTTTTTTCTTTTCATCTACAGTACTAGATAACGAAGTTGTATTTCGGTACATATATCCATTTCTTCTTGCGTCCTCTGTGTGTGCTGTTTTATGCGGTTTGTGCATCGATCAAGTACGACGTCTCTATTTGCATATCAAAGATGAAAAGTAAGTTCTGGTTAATAGGTTGAGGTTCTGTACGGTCATCCTCTTATCACTTACATTTTAATGATCCTTTAAGAATTCTTTTCGCATCTGTAAACTACATTTCGTATTGAATTAATTTCAGATATCTAGTTGGGAGGCAGTTGGTGAATTTTCGACCACCACCACCAAGTCGATCATTAGTGCCAGCATCATCAGTGAAAGATGAATGAACACACAATTAAAAACTCATTTTGCATCTCCACTAACTTTCCTTGTGACTCAGAAAGCAGTGAGTTTTGAAGTAGTCAACGTTTATGTGCAACTGAAGAGCACTTTATGAATCATTGTATTTCTGATAGTGGGACTATATTACAAGTTGTTAGCAACTTACAGAATTTCACTGTCAGTATATTTTTCCCGCATAAATCAAGAAAGTACACAAAACTTTAAACGACGATTTATTCTGTATTTAAAATTAAAACATCTGTAAATTATTGGTTGGTTCTTTTCTTAAATCGTTTGATCAATTTTTTCCTTCTTCACGATTTTGACCTTATAACGCTGAAGTATAATAAAATAAACCATGGAACAGATGAAACATCGTTTTAGAAATAGTCATATGAATCAACAAAATCATACTGACTACACATGCATCTAGTACGTTTCAGTGGAATGTGACTAAGATTAGCAGTTGTTCAACATTTAAGCTTCAAACAATTACGAAGCATTCAGACAAAATAAATATGGTTAACCAGAAATTGGATATGAATGCTTATCTGACAATATTTTCATGAGCCGATTGATGTAGAAGACATTTTCAAAGTTTAATAACTTCATACAAATTGGATACATTCTAATATGTTTCCACAGTGGTCCTGTGATAAAGCACTAATGAAGCAGTTACCTGCAATATCTGAATGCTATGGAGCAACACCATGAACTTGGAACAAGTGTAGTTCAATATACTTTGCATCCGATTAAATTAACCATACATTACTGGTTACAATGCCTATTTTTCCCACCTTAAAGTTTACCAGATAATTGCTTTTGAGTTTCACAAAAGCTGCAAAGGCGCACTGTTAAAAAGATTATCTAGGAGTTCCTTACTTTATTTAAAAACATTTTGACCGATGCATCCTCCTCTGGATCTGATACACGAATAAAATGGGTTCCAGGACACCACTTTACGAAATTGCGAGACTAAAATGGGATAAATAACAAAAGTACATTAGAGGCGATGTTGGTACACTTTTAAAAGCGAATTAGAAATGAAAATAAATTCCAACTCCTGGTTTCATTTGGCGATGTTGCTTTTGCTGTACGAACGGGGTTTAAAAAAGGCAGCTCCGAAAACGACGCTCTACCATTACGCTGCGGTCTACCTGGTCCCAGTGGGATGTGTCGTCTAGATCGATTCAAAACAGTCTCGAAATTTCAAAGACTGTGTGGTGGCCCTCAAGCAGATGTCCCTTGCGCTCACACAAAACTAATCCTTTTTCTGTGATATCTTGCGGAAACTACTTACAAGATAAGAGCATCCGAGAATCATTAACTACCCACAACACAAATCTCAACTAACCACGCCTTCATACCCTCCTTTGCCTTCACTTTCCGATATCAACATTAAACCACCAACAGCCTACTAAACGGACTTTTTCACGGTGAATAACATGATTTTCGGCAGGCAGCTGCTACCATGGCAAGGTGGTCGAACTAACATACCACAATGACCCGAAGAGCTGAACCTGATATCCTACCATACCAGAAAAGTGTTGGATAGGGGGACGGCATAACCACTTACCGCTGTAGGGTAAATTACTATGCCACAGTAAGAGGACGAGCGCAAAGTTCTATTCTGGCTGGATGGGATGTGACAGTAGTAAGGTGTTTCTGGCGGATAACAGCAATGCCATGCAGATACTGCCACTTCTATGGCAAGAAGAGGTTAGAAAAAGTTGGCCCGCAAAGAAGCACTTCTTTCTGTAGTGGAAACAATACGTACATGAAAGTCCTTTCAGGTGAAGACGCTGACAAGATGAAAAGTCTTCTGAACACATTAAGTAGCAATGTGAGAATGCCTGAAAGCATCTCACTAAGTAGATGTCAACTGTCGCTACATGGGTGGTTCACATTGATTCATTGTCTATCAGAAAAGGGAGTGAAGTTATCAACCTGCTTGACCACTTCACCTACCTAGAACGTCTGATCGACGGTACTTGGACGGAGAAGAAAAGCTCGCTTAAGCTTCCCCAACTAGTGTCAATTTCGGCGCCTCCCAAATATGTTCTATGCTGGGATACTGCTGTGAATCATGGTCAAGGACATAAGGAAGCTTCAAGTTTTCGATTGCGTTTGTCGTAGAACCACCACATCAGTAATGTAGAACTAAAACTTAGTTTTTTAGGTAAGAGAAAAGTCAGTTAATGGGTTTGTGAACCTTCATCGACTAAGATGATTGGGAAATATATTGTGCACACTGACTATTTTCCTTACTGCTGGCTGAAGTAGTTGAGATGCAACTAGACTAAATCGTGAACTCCCTGACTGTTAATCTGAAAAGTGTAGGGAATGTTGGCTTGCCAGTTGTCGTCAGCGTGACAACAGAAACCAGTGGTCGGGGACTAGATGACATGGCTCAAAACCGATTACTACGACACAGATATATTCACACTTAGTCGTCATCCTAAACACTCCTCCTTGATCTATATTTCTTAACTTTCTTTATCACCTTTGTGGATTGTTGCTTGGTGTGCTGAATTAATATTGCTATGAGTTGTGGCGAATGAGGTCACTACGCATCATTGCCAAGTTCATAGTTTTTGACTGACTTACTGAATAACACGATCATATCCTAAAATTTGTTGGACTGATTCTTTTCGTTTCTTTAACTTCAAACTGAGGTCACCATTATCTCTGTTGACGTATGTCGGTGCCCATTTACTGCATACAAGGCTGCTTATACCGACGTTCCTCATTTTTCCGTCGCAGTCCAGAAGGAGAGCGAATCCTGTACAGATGCTTCAATGGTAACTGATGAGGGTGCAGTCTGTCGTTTAGTTGGGACTATTCACTACTTAAGTGTACTGTTTGTCTGAAGTTGATACGGGATACAAGCAAGTTATTATTTGAGCACCAATATTTCAACCGATAGCTATTATCGTTGCGTTTGGTCGGTACTGCGTAAGTACAACTTTTGTTTATTGCTAGCTGACTTAGTCATGTTACTTGTTCGATCACATTTGTTCATCTAGGTTTTAGCAGTACACCAGACATTCCGTAAAACTCATCTTTCACCTGGCTCAAACTACATTCATTGGGTGCGTAAAGAGAGATTACAAAGAGGTAACCAGTGGTTCACAGGTTTGAACACCCCTTCACTTACCGAGGGTTTGGCTACCACGCAACGCCGTCAGCTCTCAGACTATTAATGTTACTCATCATCTAACTCACAAACGTGCACACGATTGCTTAGTTATAGATACCCTGATGCAGATTCTCATCTGTAAATGTAATATTGAACCCTAGTATTCAGCTGAGGTTATAAAACTATCTGGACAGCTCGTGGTTAAAGTTACTTGTGTTGATGCCCTGCAATTCTGTTCTGTGCTGCTGTGAATCATGGTTATTAAAGGTGGAGGACATGAGGGAGCTTCAACCTTTCGACAACAGTGTGGCTTGTCACGGAACGACCACGTTAGTAATGCAAAACAGGCGTATCATTTTAGGCAGGAGGAAAGTCAGTTGATGGGTTTGTGGTTGGGACATATGTTATGAATGGCTAGTTGCCGTCTACTCCATCGCACAATGTTAGGTGGAGCAGGTTCTGGTTGGGAAGACCTGAGAAGAGGTTAGACTAAAACATGGCATCAGTTCGTCTAGTCTATAAATTGCGCAAGGAAATGCAGGCTTTCCAGTAGGTGTTTGCGTGGCCACACAAACCTGCGATTGGAAACTAGGTGATATGGATCAGAACCAATTCATAATAGTGGAGGTATATCTACGCATTATCTTCATTTTAATCGGCATACCAAATGTGATTATTACATTCCTCCTTTTTCGCTTTTCATAACTTTCTGCAACTTTTGATTAATTTCTTACTTCCCTGTCATCTTAGGGCCTTCTGCCTTGATGTGCTGGCATGAAGCGTGGGAAATCGGGTCGTTATAGAGTAACGCCATGTCACATTTCAAAACTGACTGACTGAAACGATGTATTCGGTTTCAGACAAAAGGATTCATCATTCAACTATCGTGAAATCTAGTACGTCTAAAAAGGTAGTGAAACGTTTCAAAAAGTCTGTAACTGAATGCGTGTCTGAACTAAACATATTTCATTTAAAAATTAAAAAATAACTTTCCAACTTACAATTTTAAACGAGTGCTATCAGACCGGATCATATTCCATTGGGCTGTATGTAAGTGAAATATTTGACTGCCCTCCCTAAGAGTGTTAGTAGTAGTAGTGACCGGCTGTACTGGTTGACAGTATGATCACAATGCCTGCTTCAAGTTAGTCAATATATACGGTTTTTTATGAAGTTTTTTAGCAGGGTCAAGTCTGTGGTGCCTTTTCCCTAACAACCAATTAGGAAATGCATGCTTCTTTTTCAACACCAGCCTTTCAGTCTGAGAAAAACGCCTATGACCTCTACTACAGTGAAAATAGTTATTCTACAGAAATAGCTGCTCTTAGTCAAAGTTGTTTAACGGAGATTTTAAAGAATAAATATTCTAACCATAAAAGCAGTCGGGTATGGTCGCAAGTTTACTGTTGCAGTTGTGTTATTTAAAGTACTTCATACACAGGTTTTAGAATGCTTGTAGCAGTTGGAATAATGTATTTTTGAGCGAATTCACCAACTTCTTCTACGACGTTAATTGCTAATGTAGCCATCTAGTTATGTTATCATACGTCAAGGCTTGGAGAGCGTCATATGGTTGTCATCTTCATCACATATATATGTAAATTTCAAGGTGGGTGTTTAGTTACACTGTATATACACGCAGATCCAGCGGTGAAACAACATAGCAAAAGAATACAAGAAGCACCAAAACATTCTCCTAGATTATTAAAAGCTGTCAGGATTGAGCAATCCAGAGTCTATATTCTAAATGGAATGTGACATTAGCATACAACGAGCAAAAAAACTTACCGTTAATTGAATTCCGGAACTAGTTCCCTTATCACTCTGCACCTGGTTATCTTTTTTGTATGTAGAAGCATCAACACTCAAAGAATCCTTCATAGATCTAGACAGGAACAAAAACATTTCAAGAAATAATGATACGTCAGGTCGAACGACTAAAATTTGTGTGCGGTAACCCTTTAGGGGATTAAAACGCTTGTCAGACGGTAAGTTCTGTGATTAAGTAATCCAAAGAAGTAAATAACTAATCTAATTGTAAACGAGGGAAAATACAGATTATCATAGAACTAAGTACATCTCGCTGAGAAACTGCAGAATTCGAAAAATAAATCGGTCCTAACTACTTGACTCCAACAATGAATTTGGTATTTGCACAAGTCAATCACGTAGAAATTTCGTAAATTTCTAACTGAATGTTGGTCGGTATTATAATTTGATTTTCGACATCGACGAGCATCATTTAAATTACCAGGCATCACTTTGACAACCTTTACTGATAACGTCGTTCGATTGATGGAAGATTAACCTCAATGTAATCAAAAAAGCTTTTCAATAGTTTTGTAAAAGAAAATGTACTATTTTTTCATCGTTATCAGCTTTTGCATCTGCTTGCATGAAATGCGTACTTTTGTTACATCCCCATCTTGTAGTACATATTCCTAAAACATTTATTTACTTTGTTATACTACATATGTATACAGAGAGAGAGAGAGAGAAAAGTAAAAATCTAAAACGTAGCTCAGCAACCATGTCATGCAGTTGACAGTGAAAGCCACATCAAATGTGGTAAGGTCGGTGATTCTACCTGGCTGCCAAAAGCCCGGGAGGTGTAGCGGAGTTCGAAACCACAACCCACCGGTTGAAAGTCAACCTCCTAGACCTATAAAGCCACGGACCTTTCATAAAGAAAGGTATGCCAAACAAAATCACGTGAGACGGTTAATATCTAACACAGCTTACATATGCTGAATTGACAAGTAGTGTCCGTAAGTTAACTTATTTCAGTACCAGTAGTTCATCTGAAGGGAAATTAAATCTGTTTTTTCTACGTTTCTGGAGTTCAGCAAATTCGGTTTACGCTTAAAAAGATGGGTTATCATTCAGTTAATTAATGTTGTGTTGGACTTTATACTAGGAATATTATCTTCAAGCAGTCACTAATTTATTTATGACTTTCTTATAAAATAGCGAAATAATCTATGTGAAATATACCCCCCCTCCCCCCCCCCTACATGACCAATGTGAAGATACAGTCAGAAGCAGTTTCAAACATTTCGAGACAAGGTAATATGGTATTACATGACAGGATTTCAAACTTTTGTCATTACAACGAGAGGTGAAATAAATAAGAATAAGTCAAGTTAGATTGGTTTTCACAGTTGATGAAAGCAATTTTACATGTTTGTAAAAAAAAGCCGAATCACTATGAAATCACTGACTTACATAATTTTTTCCCTTATCGTACGATGCTTTTCTGACTGAGTTTTATTTGAGGATTTTTTAATACATCGTCTTTTTGCTTGGCTACAATCGGTTTCAGACGTGGGTATGGGAGGTTCCACAGCAGATACAATTTCCAGTGGCAGACTGTTGCAGAGAACTGACTTGAAACAACTTAAAGTGGGAATCTACTTAAACACGATTGTCTGAAATCATCCATGATCTTTTGGAAAGGAGATATCACCTCTATCGGTAATGAAAGTGGGTTGAGAGCAAACATGCTGAGACGTTTCGATAAAGATTCAGGTACACCATTGGATTTAATGTCTTCGGAGGAAAGAAGTTGTGAAGCGGACGGCACTATAAAATACACAAAATGATAATAAAAATATTGTTAGTTAACAACTGGGATAGTGATACGAACTGAACGAAAACGAATGATCAACATAAAGCAGTTTCCATCAAGTGACGAAAATACTGCGCATGTGCGCACCACTGTAAAATGAGTGCGGAAAGTACCATCATTTAAAATACGTGAAAAACCACTATCTTGAAAACCGACTATCTTAACACAACCTCTTTTTCTCAGCAAATCAAGGTTTTCAGGTTGGTATTCATCAGGGAATGACATTAGCTGGAGGAACATTGGAAACTTAGGAGCACTGGACAGCTGTTTTGTCCTAGTATGGAACCGGCAGTGCACACTCATGACCCAACAGGGATCGAATCCAGGACCTTCAGATCCACAACCAGCACGCTACCAACATGAAATTAGTAAACCCCCACAAACCTTCAAATTGAATTAATCTAGTCCTCACTGGTTACTAGCTTCGAAAGGTGATTACCAAAGTTCTGGTGAGAAGTTATGACTAGTGGGGCCAACCAAGTCGAACATGAGAACAGTCCATGATGAATACCAACCTGAAGTCAATAAATCCCCACAAACCTCCAAATTGAAGAAAATCGAAGTTGCTTATGAAAACTGAATCTAGTCTTCTGATTACTGATGTTTTGCACCAAAAATACACAATCGTAGATCAAAGCTATGGAATCAATTCTCGCCAACATTTAGTGAAAAATTAGAAAGAACAAAAACTAACCACGACAATCCATGAAACAAAATTTCATGTGTAAAACTCCGAATCAAGTTAAAAGTCTGCTCAAAACATTTAACGGAACTTACTCAAACATTAAATCTATAAATAAACCGGAAGTTACAATCTTCTGACTTTCTGTCGTGCGAAGAAATGAAGGAACGTGTTGCAGATATAGTTAACATAGCTCTTGCTGTAGAATGCTAAATAAGGATTGGTCACAACAGTGTACCATACGTCTAGGAAACTCTGTTCAGCAGAGAAACGTGAAGAATATGCTTTCATACAGAATTGGCTTCAGGAAAATGGTTATCCTGAGAAGTCTATTCGAAAGTATGGAATTGAAATTTTCCATAAATGTCCAGCAATTAAACCAAAGAAGATAGCAGTGTTTATCTGCTAAGCATTTGAAGGGGATAACGAAAAATTGTAATCAACGATTTAGACTCATATTAAGAAACACATTTTCTGTAGTGAAATTATTCCACTTGCATTCGAAAATGGATCTCATATCACCTCAGCCTGAGTTTATCAGTTCACTATTAACTGCGAAGTAATCACATAGGCAGGACTGGGAGACGGGCAGTCACTTATCTTCCTGAACATATTACGAGAAAAATACATTTCAGAGGACTTATTCACTCATAACTTGCTTGATATAGGGATATAAAGCTAACATCAAAAAGTTTTCAGAATCCTTAACCAGTTTAATTCGATCGTGCTTCCATTCGCAAAAGCTACCTTTATTAGAAAGTTAAAATCTGATTTTCGCATTCAGAGATTCAGTAGTCAACCTACAACCGGCCTATACTCCCTGCCCACTTTTTTTCTGTCTCAGCAATGAGTACAGTTTGTTTATTTCTATTTAATTCCACTTCACTGCTGTTTTGTTTTATGTTCATGCCTATCCATTTGCTCACTTTTGTGAGTGGTTATCACTCTGATTCTAGAATTATCATTCCAACTTCATATGTAGCATTCCCAATAAGTGATCGCTTTATTTTAAGTCTACAGTCCTATTGGTTACAGATTTTAAATTATGTAGTATTCTTCCATGCCAGATTGTTTATTTGATATAGCATACAGTGACAGTATAATTTACTGCATGAGGTTTCGAGTAGAATTCATTGCTCGTATTCATAGAATATGACCATTCATAATATGTAAGCATCTGAAGAGGATGCAACGAAATACAATGTATTCCTTTGCTTAAATTATGAATGAGAGTTACTTTAGATAACACTTTCATTCTAACATTACAAAAATTATTCTCAGCTTGGATGCTAACTGATGTTTTATTGCACCAGTACACTTTAAATCTGATTTTATGCACAAAAATGTTTTGATAAAGGTTTAAGAGTTATCTTCGGGAGTCGTAAGTGCACCCTCCTGAACCTGATTTGACTGAATAACATGTAGATAAACAGTTTTCTAAACAATTTCTCTCCTTTTTATTGGTTTTGCGATGAAGGCCTACTTAAATGAAATTACAGCCTGAACAATCTTGTGGATCAGAAAAATAATTAAAAGATTAAACGTCAGTCTGAATATAGCAACATCTTAAGTACAGAAAACTCAGAGGAAAATTAAGCTCTTATAAATAAAATCACCGATTATTCTACCATTGTTGACATACTAATCTGGAAGAAGCATATTAAGTACAATCTTCTACGTATATTATAAATACAAGTCCAATCTACTAAAACGTTCAAGAATGATTTCATGCGATTGCCCTGTGGTTTTTCGGTGTTGGCGGTATGGAGTTTTCTATCCGGCGTTTGAACAACCAAATATCAAAACAACAATCCTAAAAAAGGTTCGTGACAAGACTCAGGTAGGTGTCCCATGGACTCTGCGATCACACAAATCATTTTCCCTTTCATGCACCTCCATGGTATGCGCAACCGGGAAGTGTCAATCACCCGCACGCTTCCAGTAGTACACAAGACGCAATAGGACATAAGTTACCCTGCACAGCATTGCACCAGCTTTCACCTTCACTTCCTGATACAAGTATTGAGCCTCTCACAACTTCCTCATCCTTCACTCTACGCCTATTGCCAACGATCAAAGTGGTAGGAACCTTATTCCCAGTCTCCTAAGGCCCCGCCATCGATTTCACGTTGGAGCTTACAACGTCCGAACTCTATGCCAAATTGGACAACAGGCATCTCTCGCCAGAGTTCTGGGATCTCTAGGCATGGGTTCATGCTAGGTTTCTGAGACAGGTCTACAGAACCTGAGGGTAGTTGTTACATTGACCTCACCTGGTTATTGTGGGGAACCTGAATTCACTTTACAAGTATCCAGATACCTAATGATTAGTTCTCGTGGACTCGTTAGTGTAGGCATAGTATTGAGTTGTAGAGCAGGAAGTGGACTCTGACTGGATTTCAGTCAACAGAGGTGTGTGTGCTGTCCTATTGAATGGATGTGCAAGAACTAGGAAGGATCGTGGGACTAGCCGACGCCTATTGGCGATCTCTGCCTACGCAAACTCTGACTGTAGTTCAGATGGTGCGAATGATGACTCCTGTCAGGAGCTACCGATTTTGCTGCAGAAAGCGAAACTTTCAGATATGGTCATAATAGCAGGTGACTCGAACGCTTAAGTAAGGAAGCTGAGCCAATTGGAAAGGCATCTTGGGAGTATCTACGGAATCCTATGCTAACGAACCAACAATGGTGATCGTGTGATACAAATTCGTTGTGACAGTCACTTGTTTCCGGTCAGCACGAACTTTAGGCATAAAGAAACTGTTTCATATGGCGTCCACCGACATCAAACTGATGACGGACAGATCAATCATATTGCTCCAAGCAATCGGTGGAGGATTGCCGCTCTTTCTGGAGTATCTGTTCTGACTCCAATCACGCGTTGGTACGGACTCGTGTATGCCTGCGCCTTACTGGTCACAGGTGGTGAGGCCCGTATGTGCTCGATGGAAGATGAGGAAGCAAAGTGCGTATTTATGGAGGAAATGGCCAAGCATTTATCTAAAAGTGATACCAATCATCATCCCACGGAAACTGTGTGATATTAATTCTGCTAGAGAAACAGGAATAGAGACAGATGGTAAACTGCATTCACAGGTTAGCAATAGACTGTAGAATTCCGCAACCTCATCCAAAATAATTAATGCAAGATTCATTTAGGCTCTTCTTGACAATGATGTGGAGGCGAAAACAGCTCAAACGTGAATTGACCAAGATTCTTTACAAGGACCTCTGGTAGTGGTGGGTGGTTGAATCGGGAAGGGTGGAGAATACATCAGCAACAGGTACTCGGCGACTATTTAGGTTTATTAGGTAAACTGGAAACAAGTGAAGGATAATTAACAAGCCATTTGAAACCCAAGACAATACGAAGCACTTGATGGTTTGGCATTTGAAGTTTTCACGGATGAAAGTGGGGTGTTACTGAGTAGATTAAGGGAGGCAATAGGTAGTGCCGCCTGACTAGTTTACTTCACTGGTCACTCCAGTCTATGAACAGAATTCTTTCTGTCAATCATTTTGATTAAAATGTATTCCAAGAGAGTTGGGGGTTCACAGTTATTTGACGCCTAATTGTTGCTCGAGGGTGCATTGATCATATTTTCACCCTTCGACAGGTTCTGAAACACAGGCATACCTACCGGTCAGTGGTCGACGCCTGCCATATTTGTTAATCTGAAGGTGGCATTTGACTCAGTCGACAGTATGGTGTTGTGGCAGTGTCTAGGTGTGAAGGAAGTATGTATCAAATAAGTAACGCTAATCAAAGCTCCCTACTCGAGTTTTCATCAGAATTGAAGACAACTAGTGGTGTTCGCCAGGGATATCCACTATCACCGTTTCTATTTAGCTTCGTCATAGACGTACTAATGGACATAAACTAAGGTACGTCTGACTTCATAGAGGTTGATCTACTCTGGAGGTCTTCTTGCCGAGTTGGAGCATGCAGATGATGTCTCGCTGTGTGAAAAAGCTGACAAAGTGCACGGTCTTCTGGACGCGTTGAGTATAATTATGACTATATTTGACATGTGTCTCGCTGGCATCTGTTAAATGTAAGATGATGCTCCACGACTTGTCTGCTGCAAGTAATCTCAGTTTAATGGTAGGAAGTGAAGTAGTGGAATGGGTCGACCACTTCACTTACTTGCAGTTGTATCAGCCCTGATGGGCTACTTGCTGACAAATTTTCAGCTCGGATACGGAAAGTCTACTTGGTATTTGCCAACTTGCGTCATATCTGGGTGGTAACCATTGGCCAGATATCCGACTGACTACGCGAGAATGGTATGCAGCGTTGCAGTCCGTTCTGTCCTGTTATGCGGCTGTGACACATGACCCTTTTGAAAGTAGAAGACCTGAAGCGACTACTAGGTTTTAATCATGTGTCTTCGTAACATTGCTCGCATTTGGTGGAATCACCATGTGAGAGCAATGATCAGGTTCGGTGAATGATACTATGGAAAAGAGGCAAGTCAATCGATGAGGTTGTGAACCTTAGTCGATTGAGATGGATTGGATACGTAGTGTGCATGCCGAACCATTGACCACCTCGATGTGCCATACTAGACGGAGTTGGATTAAGTTGGAAGAGGGTTCAGAGTGGCCAGAACAAGACGAGGCACCAGTCGATGAAGCCCCTTACTGTTGGTCTGAGCTGTGTGGAGCGACGTAGATTACATGGCTGGGGTCTCAGAGACGATAGGAATCAGTGGTTGTAGATCCTTGGTAACATGGCTCAAAATCGGTCACAATAGTGCAGAGGTGTTCACTGACTGAGAGTTCCAAAAATTTTCACTAACGGTCATTTTTCAGGTTGTTTTTTCTCTCATACACTTTTATCTACTTTGATATCACTTCTGCGCACTCGTTCCTCGCATCCTGTTGTAGAGTGTGGTGAATTGGACAGATGCACTTTTGTCGGAGGTTCTTGGTTAACCTTGTCCGTCGGATGTCACTCTTCACCACTTGATGGATCTTTTGAAACACAGATTTAAAAAAAAGGTTTTCAGGATGCTAGCAACATGTATTAAGACCACTTTAGCTTTCAAAACTAATGAAAGTATTTGGACCATTATGATATAGCCGAGCAACAATACTTCACTTTTGGCGTAGGATAGTTTTGAAACCGCTGCACGTCAGAAGGCTAAAATTAAAACCCTAAGGTTGATAGTCTTATCCACGTCAAAGTTGTTGGCATATTTTCTAACACGTATGGAGAAAAATTTGGGTAAAAAGATATTTTTCCCAGTGGTCCAGGTGTTTATAACACACTTGGTCTGTTTATAATCAAAATCTATTCTCCATTTTAACACATTCGCAATCAACTCATAAATAGTGCCTGGCTAGGGGCAACCAATTCGAGATTAGTTTTAAATATTCCGATTTGTTTACTTTGGTATAACTTGAACGCAAAAGAAATCACTTACATAGCCAAACCTCCTTGAACTTCGTAATCAAATGTTGCACCAAAAAATGTGTTTGTTTCAGTGAGGTGGGATGCTCAACTTTGGATAATAAATGCAATGGAGCAACAGGATGTTCATTATATTCTTGTGAAATATACTGGCGACGTGTATAAAAATATGAATTAAAGCGTGCAGCAGAAGCAAGCGCTAGAAATATTCCCATTTTTTCTATGACCATTTCAGTCGCTCGTTTGATTTTTTCGGCCATATCAATATCAAAAGAGTTTTGTGCAGAGTCGCCTTGGTTCACTCGTTTATTTTTATTTTTAACCATACGGAGAATATGGACTAAACTAAGAGAGTTTATAAAAAAAGCGAAAGAAAGAAACAGTCAATTCACACAGAAAAACGTTCAGAAATATCCTGTTTCAAATTTCTAAAGACGCTGGGATTATATTAAAATAAACTGTTCAAAAAAACAAGCTAGTTGTGTACTGAGATATTTAAAAAACTGAAATTCTTGGTTAGTCATATACGTACGCTAGTTCATAACAATAGCGTTAGTATTACTAGATGTTCTTTATCAAGGTTTGAAAAGTTAAAATATTTTCTAAGAAAAAAATCATGACTTCGATTGAGATAATTATATCCGATTTCTACAGTCCTTCACTTTCAAGGTAAAATGCACAAAAAAAACAAAGCGGATATCGATAGGATCACAAAAGTCCTCAGTTGTGCTACACAGACTTATAGATAACTGGGGACGCATAGTCTTGATAACATGCAATCCAGCTTCGAGAGTACTCCCCTATATTGGCTTTTTCGTATCTCCAACTAGGTGTCGTGTAAATATAAGATCCTCAATCTTCGATATTATGTTCGTCAGACGACTTTTCTTATGTTCATCATGAAAAATTTTTTCTTCCTTTGAAACTGGGGTAACTAGCAATTGAGATCGGTTAGATTCTGACTCCCAGATAATACATGAACCATTCGAATCTTTAGTCTGAACACAAAAGGAGGAAATGAACATGTGAATGCCGTTTAAAGCTAAATATGATGCAATACAGCACGTAAAATACACAATACTCTACATTGAAATACCAAGTTAAGAGATCGAGGAAAGCACCAGATGACAAGTCAGACATATTCGGTAAAGGCTGTCCATGGAACAATGCAGATAGAAAACGA